AGAGGAAAAAGGGGGATTTAACCATCAAACATGGGGATTTTACTTCGAACAAGTTGTGATTTAATGACATGACACACCAAGAAAGATGGTGATTTTATGGGATTTGACATGATTTGATCAATTTACCTTGGGGTAAACATACAGAGAAATGTGGAAAACCCATGGGGAAACCCTTGGACAAGGACCTGTAAGTCATTGGTTTCCAACAGGTTTTAATATGCTAGGAGGGTAAGCATGAATGAAAAAATCAGGATTAGCCTCCGGTAATTTCAGAGGTTGCGAACTGGTATAGATGGCCCAGTGTGATGATTTACCTGTCAAAAATAGTGATGTTCCGTAGCTATGTAAGAAATTACTAGTTATATACTCGAGGGTGAATGGGCTTATGAGGATAGGGTTCATGGGATGCAACGATCAGCCATGAGACTTAATGGGATGGAACGCCCTTAAATGTCCTGGTCCATGGTGATTGAATCAGCAAATTGGCGGGTTAAAAAAACTTGTGGCTTCCGCAATGATTAATGAACCCAGTATGGGTTTATGACGGCAAAAGCTCACCAGCAATAACGAAACACTATCTTGGAAACCATGGGGTTTCACCTCCTAATGTTGCAGCGGAGCATCATCTAAAATGAGGGTTTATGAAAAGCCTGTTAACCACCAACAGCCAAACAATAAAACAATAAGGCCAAATCTGAAGCATCTATGACTCCCATTCCCATAGCAAATATCGGTAAATCGTTAGACTGATTTGAGGGAACTTCCAGAGCAAACCTTGGTTTGAAGCCCCAAATGGAGGGGGTTCCGGTCAAAAATCTCTTTACAGTACTATCAATTCTTGGAGGAAGGGACTTAGATAGTTGGATGAACACTAGTTACTAGTTTCTGTCATGACCATTTGAAGCTAGTAGATGGCTACTGTAGGGGGGTATATCCTAAATATCAACCATATCCTAGTTTTGAAGTGGCTGCAGCTTGATTCAGCAGCTTTATCCTGACCTCAGGGGGTCGCAATGGCCCAGAATCTATATAGAAGCGCCACAAGTTGCAGCAGGTCTTTCTTCAGAGAATCTCAGGAAGAACGCAGTCATGTACATTCTGACTCACATTTATACATGGACATGTGATATACATATAGCATGTACTTCTAGACGATACAAACACATACATGTACAGGTAGCAAAACATACAATCGTTCCACGAGCCAGCATCGAACTAGATACCGCTTGCCACGAGCCAAAGCGACTTGGCCCTATGGCAATATCCTGTAAGTTTAGAAAGTTTAGTACCATCAGGCACGTCCAAGAAACACCCCTATTCTCCGCGGGGCGGCGGCACGCTTGTTGTGACGTGGCTTGCTGCTTCTATGCTTCTTGGATGCATGGTCAAGTGAGTCAAGATTTTTCACCACCCAAGGCCGTGTTGAAATCATTGAAAACTTGCCCCATTAGAAGTGGCTTAATCCCTTCCCCCTAATATTAACATATATTAACCACCCCAATAATAAACACCTCAGGTAGTTTTTATTATTAGGTTGTATTTATTACTATATAGGGTTCCCCTAATACTAAACTCACAACCCTAATATAAAAAACTAGTTTGTTCGATTTCCAAATCGATTAGATTTCCTTTTAAAATCAATTAAAATATTTCAAAAAAAATGTTTTCGAAGCTTCCCCATAATAGTAAATTTAAAACTCTAATATAAACAACTATTTTGTTTTATTTCAAGATCGATTAGATTTCCTTTGAAAATATAATCAAAATATTGCTAAAAAATGATTTCAAAGCTTCCCCTAATAGTAAATTTAAAACCCAAATATAAGAAGCTATTTTGTTCTATTTCAAAATCGATTAGATTTCCTTTTAAAGTCTAATTAAAATATTGCCAAATTGGATTTCGAAGCTTCCCCCTAATAGTAAATTAAAAACTCTAATATAAAAAACTGTTTTGTTCTTTTTTTACATCCATTAGACTCTTTGGATGATCTCCTCTTGATTCTGACTCCGTGGGGTTTTGGTCCTCCAGCAACTGGTTAAACACTGATTATTCCAGAGCACCATGAGATGAATACCTGGCAGCGATATCGGAATGAGAAACCTCCCACCTGTACACATGAGTTGTTTATTGAACATGTTGGTTTTCCATGAGTGGATTTAGTGGCCTGACTAGCTTTGCATGCGTGAAAAATTGATTTTTCAATCACCAATAATTCACCAGTGTGAGACCATTCTACTTTGGTCCTCTTCGCAAAATTCAGGGCTTCAAAGAAACCAAGGTGGCATGTAAATCTGGCCAAACTTACCAACCTTATCTCCAGTTGGGGATGGTTATCGGATAAGGGGTTGACCACGTTGGAGGGGAAGCATCAATGAAATAGTGTGATCATATTCTTGAGGCAAGCCCAATATAGCCCAATTATGCAACTTCCATTGGGAAGTCCTTTACTTCCCCGCTGCAGAGCTACTTGGTTTAGCTGTTGTTGGCATGTCCCAGCATTGGATTATAATTATAAGTTATATAAGGCACAAAGTGCAAAAAAACCTTTAATCTGCTGTGGACAACCATGGGTTCCTCCATTTTTCTGGGCAAGTTATAAGGACCTCACTGTGACCGCCTTGGAATGATGCTGAAGATTTTTCCATTGACCCAGATTTGCATCTCATGGAGGATAAAAATCCTCAAGTTATACTATATAGTCAATGGCCATTTCAGGAACCTAAATTGGAGGTACCTACCATATATAAGGCCTATATAAGGCCTATGTAAGGGAATATCCCCACAAAATATGCCCTTATATGGTACAGTACCTCCATTTTAGGACCCTGGAATTCCCATTGATATAGTATCAATTTTAAATAATGGCTAGTAAGGGGAATTTTCCCAGTATAGCCGTATTTCACCGTATTTCAAGTTAGTGAGCTATTGTAATTTCCTCTGATCTTTTTGGGGCTTGCTGTAGTCCAACAAGCATTGGATTTGTCTCCCCAGCCTGACCAACCCAGGCAACTCACGCCATGAGCGAAGAGCCTGCAGCACCCGCAGCGCCGGGCTGCCCCTGTGGCGCTTGCTCCGTTGCGTGGATGAGTGATTGGCTGGGTGCTTAAAGGAATGAGCAACCCATGAAAGATCAGCAGATCTACTACAGTTGTGGCCAGAAGTACCAGTGACGTTTAAGGTTATTTCTCTGGGGTTATTATCATTCCTTTTTATGGGGTGACAAGAACTGACTTGTAAATAATTGGTATTTTGAGCACTGAAATTTATGATTGTGAAACCATATGCACACAGTATGGCCAAGACTGCAACATGCTCAATCCCAACCCTTCTATATATATATATTACTTTGATAATGCACCCCAACAGGAAAGCCAGAGTGTATTGCATCCATTCGTTTCTGGGAGACAACATTTGTGCACAGGGTCTTCAAAATCAGCTCATGCCCATCCCTACACGGCAGATCAACTGATGGGAACAGCAGTGGGACCAACGTGCCAACCAAAAACATACGAGTTCATCGGTTGAACACGAGAAGATTGCCAACAATGCTGATTGTCACTGGAGTTTGAGAGAAAAATTGCAGCAATCCCATGTTGCTGTTTTTGTTTAAGAGCGTAAAATAATGTATAATACATATAGAGGTTTTCTGTTGAGATTCCATCATGTAGTGACCTACACACCGAAGCCCTTGATTTCACGAGGGCCCCATAGTCGTCAACAGTGCTTCAAGGCATCTTACCTCGAAATTGCGTCGGCCCTTTCAATCAGAAATTATGCAATCTGATAGGAAAAAAACCAATGGAGGAGATGCAAAGACCTATTTCAGGTTCCTGCCACTGAATTTTTAGAATTCTCAAGCAATGTGGTGCTCAAGCCTTTGTGCCATGTCATGTGAAAGGCCCCATGGAGCTACTTAATTTCTGAAGGCACCAATGCATGTTTTCATGCCTGGGTATAATGTATGGAGGCTACTTTTCAGGCTGAATATGTTTTAGGCCCTGTAGACTAAATATTTGTTGGGTACCTCCATGATCCTTACCTGAAATGACATATTTCCTCCAAAGGCTGGTGTGCTGCCATGTGGCGGCTGCGGCTGCGGAGGCTTTGGTAGCTGTAGCAGCTGTGGAGGCTGCGGTAGTTGTGGCAGCTGTGGCTGTGGCAGTTGTGGATCTGGTGGCAACTTGTCGCGCAAACCGAAGGGAACTAAAAATGAATTGTTGTTTGGTTGGTGGTTTGGAACTTTTTTTCTTGTTCCATACATTGGGAATAATCATCCCAACTGACTTTCAGATGTTTGCGAGGGGTTGAAACCACCAACCAGTGAATTGTTGTGAAGTAACCATCAAAAACTCCAATTTAGCCATGAATTTGGCCGGGCTTAACCATCAAATCATCAATGCAGAACTTTAAATGTCCACATTTGCAGCCTGGGGAATCTGATGGGATATGGGCCATTCGGGATTCAGCCCTATAAAACCCCTATATATACTGTATTTATATATATATATTATTTTATATATTATATATTATTTATTATATATTATTTATTGTGCATTATAAAATAATATATTATATTATTATTTTATATTTTATTTATATAATATATATATATATATTATATTATATTATGTCATATGATATCATATGAAATGCGTTTATTAAAAATTATGATATATATATATATTGTTTATAACCCATATATAAATGCGGCTTAATATGGTCACTACCCCACTGAATAACGGGTCATGACAGCTCTCGCCCTTAGTAGCTTTCCGGTGATACCTGTTCGGCACTGCCAAGTGCGCTGTTTTTAAGCTCTAAGAACGGTTGCCTATACAATTTATATTCATATACATAAATCGTAAACATTATCATACACATACTTTTTATAAATACATACAGTACATATGTATAACTCAATACATATGCAATTGGTCTGTAGTGTGTGTATAGAAGCAGTATACCAAGCAGTTTTGACCACCCACCTGCCATCGGTGAGGCACATCTGCAGGCTGCGGCTGCCCAATGGGTTGCGGATGCGGCTGCGGATGCTGTGGATGTGACTTGAGACGGTGAGACGGGGACGGGGTGGACAGGAATATACAAAGTGGGGCCCCCAGACGATAGCTGAGTTGGTGATCATAACTCCAAAAGCTTTGGTTTATGATACCTTTACTGTAACTATAGTCACTGGGGTTATAAGTTATAAACCAACTTATAACTGCGGGGGTGCACATTGTAGGTGTTCAGATGCGTTCAGTCTCAGCAAGGTTTGGGGTACATTGGGTACATTGGGCGATTGATGTTTGTGGTGGTTATTGTTTTTCAATGGTCGACATGCTGCGGTTTTCTATTTCACTGTTCCTTTGGGAAAATGGACTTGTGCGGAAGCCAGAGTTGCCATCGAAGAAGCGTAGCAAAGATGTCCTGAAACTCCGAACCAGTTGAATTTGCAATCCGTCTTAGAATCTCAGCAACTTGGAATATCAATGGGCAACTTGGAAGATAAATCCAATTTCAATCTGGAACATGATCCATTTTCCAGGTCCCTGCCCCGGCAGCTGTGGCAGCTGTGGCAGCTGTGGCAGCTGTGGTGGCTGTGGTGGCTGTGGTGGCTGTGGTGGCTGTGGTTGTCCCGGATGTGGCTCGGGGATGATGGGCATGGGAGGAATCTTGGTCAAACACTGAAGCGATGCTCTGTCCATTTCCAAGAATTGGCAGGGAAAAGCCACTGGAAATTCCTTGGCCTCCCAGAAGTCAAGCAGAGACCCCGCTCATATTGTGTTAAAGACTATTGTTTCCTGGTCAGGCGAAGAGTAGGAAGAAATCCGTGTTTTGCATTTTTGGAATCCCTCAGACCCTACATTTTTGGAATCCCTCAGACCCTACATCGACAAATATAACATATCAGAATTTCACGATAATTCCCCAATTGGGACGTCTCAGCTGGCCAAGGATGTCAACCAGGTATGGCTGGCAACCCTATGATGATGCAAATGATGATGATGAACATGATGAACATGCAGCTTGTTGCAAGCATGAGAGGCATGGTATGTAGAGTCAGCTAGAGGAGATATCACTCGCAGACATCTAAGTACAGCCGAGGGATAGATTGCAGTGCATAGTTTTGCAGTTTGGCGATGGAGAGAGAGAGAGAGAGAATTGCGCGATTCCATTTGGCCTTGAATCATGGGCACCAGCGCTTTTTGATGTCTCAATCTCTGACTTCTATGAACGTAAGCCGGACTTGTTACTTACTATATACTACAAACAACCTACCAAAACATATCATGAAGCAAAATGTGACCCACTCGCAGCATTGCCCTCGTCGCGCTTTGGTTCCCTTGAGACGTGAGGCAGAAAATGATGGCTGCTCAGGGGGGCAAGCAGAATCCCATGGCTGCCATGATGGGCAAAATGGGCTGCGGCTCTGCACCAGCTGAGCCAAAGGAAACTCCAGAGAAAGAGAAACCATTGACTTGGAAGGCACGAGACTGGGCTCTGGGCAGCTGTTGCTATTGGTGATGCTGTTGGTGATCGTGTTGTTGTTGATGATGATGGTGATGATGATGATGATGATGATGATGGTGATGATGATGATGATGATGACGGTGACGGTGACGGTGACGATGACGTGACGGTGATGGTGATGGTCATGGTGATGGTGATGGTGGTGATGATGATGATGATGACGATGATTATGATGATGATGATGATGATGATGATGCTGATGCTGATGTTGATGCTGGTGATGAGTTTGATGTTGATGGTGATGATGGCGATTATGGGGATGATGGCGACGACGATGATGATGATGATGATTATGATGATGATGATTATGATGCTTATGATGCTTATGATGATGATGATGATGATGATGCTGATGATGATTCTGATTCTGATGACGATGACGATGACGATGATTATGAGGATGATGATGATGATGATGATGACGATGATGATGCTGATGCTGATGTTGATGTTGATGCTGGTGATGAGTTTGATGTTGATGGTGATGATGATGATGATGGTGATGATGGTGGTGATGGTGATGATGATGATGATGATGATGATGATGATGATGGTGATGATGATGATGATGATGATGATGGTTCTGATGATTCTGATGATTCTGATGAGGATGATGATGATGATGATGATGATGGTGATGGTGATGGTGATGATGGTGATGATGGTGATGATGGTGATGATGGTGATGATGGTGATGATGGTGATGGTGATAATGGCAGACATCATGTTGAGGTTATGTGTTGTCCTTCGGGTTGCATTCTTGCGGCACTTGCTGCTGGAAGCGGTGTCTGCGGATATTCTCACCACAATTCACGTGCGCATGGGAAGGCTGATAGAAGGGTTTCCCTCATGTTTTTCTCCACATCGTCACATATGATGTTCATTGATTGACATCCTTGGCAAGCCTGCAGCACAAGGGACTTATTCCAGATATTCGCGGATTCGGTCCTTTAGTTGTTCTTTTTCAAGAAGGGACACCAGATCATTCACATGTTTATGTATTTTCCAGGTTTTCCCCGTTGATTGGATGAGTGGGTTGGTTGTTGGTATACAAAACTATAGTATATAAAACATACTTTCCCAACCCTTTTTCTACAAACCCAACGTTTTCCAACTAGCCCAAGAATTCCTGGCCTCCAGGAGGATGATGAGGAGATTGACCCTGATGTTCGAGAGCTTGGGGATTACTTCAACATCGAAGAGCGTTGGGTGCGGCAGGGGCCGTGCTGTTCGATTCGTCGGTGATATTTTGATGTTCCTAATGGTCTAACCGGGTATGGTATTGAGGGCATTAAGGGTCTGAATAGGTGATTTAAGGGCACTGTTGATGTTCCTCCTGTTTGATTTTCCTCATGGAGAGAATACATAGTTTCCAAAACCTATTTGTTTTTACAGTATGTTTATTCTAGCCAAAACCTGTGACAATCAATTTCTTGGATTTGTTTAGTCGGTTATTCTTGATGCTCCCAATGGGAAATTTGCCATGACTGGGGAATCTGCAGGGTAACAGGAACATATTATATTTGCTGGGGTCCCTTAAGCAAATGCAAGAAAATGGTGGTTGGAGCTCCCGAACACATCCTAAAACAACATAGTTGTTGAAGCGAGAAACCAGCATGTGGGAATGCAACAAAACAGAATCGAAGCAGCTGATGTACTATCGTGCATCGTGATCCATACGCAAATGGGGATACCACTTCAAACTGGTTAATATAAAATATGTTTAGACCATGTGATAAGAATGCTCAGGCTCAGAATGCTTAGGCTGACCATTTCCCAATTGGTGTGAACATCGATATAGAACCCTTTCCGGGACCCAGCACTTGCAGCCCTTGGCCCAAGCTGCCCCAAGCTTTCCGCAGCCAGGTGGTTCGACTCAACGAAGCGATGAAGAAGAGACAAGATGCTTGATTCGGTCGCCAACCAGCCGCCAACCACCGGTCCATCCAATCTCGAAACATGGGCGGATCCCCTTAAGTCACCATGGTTGTGAACAAATACTAGGATAGAGATGGATAGAGTCTAATGACGATGATTTGGGGTCCCATCTTAGTAAACCTTTATATGGTGGAATATGTCTGAACATGGGCACTGCTGGTTGCTCAGAAGGCGATGATCATGATGATCTAAGGAGACCAAAGCGCAAGATGTGGAAAAGCTCTATGAGGTCATGGCGTCACAGCGAAACGAAGTGGGGATGAGCCCCCAAGAAGTTCTTGATGGCCTCAGGAAAATTCAGATGTGTTACCTCCAATGGTACTGTCATTTGTAGCTGAGATGACTGAGATGGTACCCCCGATGTATGCCATTACGACTGTGGAGTTCAACATTGCAACTATTATAACCCAACTGTCTTGAATTTTGTACAACAGAACCTTGAAGTTCTGAACCATTGATGTAGGTTGGTGGCCCGAATTGCGGTTTGCACTGGCAACTAGCCAGTGGCTTGAACAAGACGCTGCAGCTTTTTTACAGCAAGGGCCACCAGCAACAAAGGAAATTTAACTGATCTAACTAGCTTAGATACATCAGTTAATAACACAATCTACATTCTGTTCCCAAGATTGCCTGTGCTTTCCTTGGATGTTTATCGCTTCTCATCTCCCCGTGAGGTCCTCGAGAAGGCTCGTAGCCCCACCGGTTTGCTGACAGTGCAGATGCTGGGCTGTGTTGCGAGCGGTGATGCGGAATGAGTTAAAACACACTGCAAGATGTGCGAATATGAGACGAATGTTAGTAAAGCAACGGATTGGTGCTTTATTGCACCCATGATCATGGTGATGTTGCGGATGGTTTTCTATTGCTTTGCAAGCATTATGTTGGATGCGCACGATCTCAATAAAGACTCATCATTAGTTTTGACAAATTATATGCGAGGTAAGGTTGCGATGTCACTAGAATGATGCTTATCCCAAACATCTTTCAGATCAGTGACTCATTGTAATTGCTCGGCAACTGCCCCATGTTAGGCGGCTTGAGTTTGAAGGTTGGAAGTGGGGGAAGCATGAGGAAACCATTTCCTTGGTTATTGTATTTGGGAACCATAAAATGGTTACCATTACACTAGAAAAGTCAGTTGCCACCACCAATAGATTGAATATTTGGTTGAAACCTACAGATGGGCAAACATCTAATGATTGAAACTTGGGCACTTCTGTAATTTGTTTATTACAGGATGTCAGAATGAACATACCATATATATATATACATACTGTATATTCATTTGTGGGTGTGTAGCTGTACCTACTGTCCATGGTTTACTTTTTTTTAACTGTGGCAGGGAGCCAAGTTGCTATTGAGTTGTCGGCAGCTAGTTGGTGAATGGTTGGTGAATGGTCTGTGATGTTTCTTCAATCAATGACCTTGAAATAGATATCGCGTACATTCTACGTGATGGATGTTCAACATTATTACCATTTTACTGAGGTTTTTGATCAGGGATGTCCTTTTCCCATTGGCTGGTTGATTAATAGAGGGGTTTGTTTACCCCTGTCACAACAGGTTTCTATGATGATAGATGGTATACCAGCTCCCCGCCCCTCTATTTTTACCAAAAGGACATTATTGTTTTTGATGTTTTCCATGATCTATCCACTTCAGGATTACCATGTGCATTGTATATGTGTGAGGGACCGCTTTTCTAAGGATAGGGAAGATGGAATGTGGACAGTTCGTGGGCAAGGTGAAACCTGCCTCTTGGTGCTGTTTGTTGGAGCCCAATTTTCTCAGAGATCGATCATAGATTTCTGATATGATCTGATATGCATACCCTCCGGTAAACTGACATAGCTAGGGAAAATAATCATAGTTCTAGGTAAATCAACTGTAAATGGTCCTTTTTCATAGCTAATTATGGTAGTTCACCGGAGGGTACGGGTAGTCAACACATGTCAGATTGGCTGCAATCTTTGGTATTGCTCATCTTCCAGTTACCAGTCAGCTACATAACTTCGTCCAAAACCTTCATGTAAAAAAACCCTGGGACCCTGATGTGCTCCCAGTTATACGTTGGTTTATAATTATTAAAAAAAAATCGAGAACTCTCATGAACTATAGATCACTATAGTTACATAAGTTACAAGTATCCCATTGTGATGTTTGTTGGTTTATATTCCCATTAACTGTAGATATATCACCAACAAAAACCAATGGGTTATTGGAGATGGACCAACTTAGCGATTTCATACACGGGGGCACCGGGGGCACAGGGGCCGGGGCGCCCAGGATAAGGATGTCGAGCGAATGGCGCGGAAATTCAAGTTGGACGACCACGTGACCTCCAGATTGATGGAGTTGAAGGCGCCATGGGTGCGAATTTTATGGCTAGTATTGGCTAGTAGATTGTCATAGATTGTCTATGTTGATTTTTTCTATATGGAATCATGATTACCGAATTCACAGATTTCTGTTTGTCAAGATGCCATTCACGGAGGTTTCAGTTAGTTTTAACATGTTGTAAAACAACAGAAAGATCAGAACTTTCCAGCTGAATACGTATTGTCAGGTCTGGCGTCAGCGCAACGGAGAGGAGGACCGCCCCTGTGTTGGTCGTGGGGCGTGGAGTAAATGCCAGGCATGCACGGGGGGAACTCAACAACAGGATGGGTGAGTGGGAACACAATATCCGGATATATCTGGTAGATAGTCATTTTTTAAATAGATTCATACTGTAAAGGCGGTAAATCATCTACGGATGGACCAGTTTCCAGGGCCAAGTGAAAGGGGTTGATGGTTTCATTTGATTGATATGTTGTTCAACTATATTTCAGGCGATGATCCAAATTGACTAATATATGCTTTCAGGTGGCTTGAATGTGGAAATGGATGGCTTGAGACACTGATGGCAAACAAGTATCAAAGCAAAGCATGCAGGGGTCAAAAATAGCTCACCTGCAGGGGGCAGTCAAAAATAACTCAGCCCAAAATCGTAGACAAATCATGGATCAATTTTGTGATGATGGTTGATATCATCATGACTATTAGTATCTATTAGTTGCATGATGGCCTAAACATCCTGATGGCCTAAACCAGCAACCAGCTAGGTGGGCAGACCTCACCAGAGGTCCTCCGGCAGGACCGGGCAACAAAAGACCTGGAGCGGGTGGAATATCATCTTCGTGGCTTGGTCGAGATGGGGACTGGATAAAGGTTGTGTTTTGTGTGCATTTTTTTAACAGAACATTTGGCTAATTTGGAAACAAAAGTTGAGAGAGGTCATAGCAAAAACTGACAGATGCGTCATATTTGTTGATAATTATGGCAAATCTCAGGGAATGGTTGGATTGCGTGTTTTTTTTTTCCGACAGAAGCATGCAGGTTTTGCCAAGCGGCCCAATGCGCTCTGCACCCTGCTTGCCAGGGTCTGAGAGGGTGTGGAGGTCAAACACCAGCATTCCCTTCGTAATTGAACAGTTTGCATCAGCTTGCTATGGATATGTAACGTATATGATTGTATATGGATGTATATAGATGATATTGCATGATAGCAGCTATCAAAGAATTTGGTGATTTCCCATTGATTTCCCGAATTTTCGCATAAAAATATTATAGTCATATTACCAGAGGGTATCATCAACATGACCAGCAACAATCAGCAACAAGATCATGCCAAGGTGGGAAAGCTTCTGGAGGGCGAAATCGATGAACTACCGGATCTCACCAAGGTGACAAGCATTGACAAGCGATGAAGGATTTTCAGAACCACTTCCCATCTCTTTTTTGCATCATTCTGAAACAACCAATGAAAAAAACAACTAATGAAGGAACTAGGCTTTTTAGCCTTAGCCTGAATATCCTGAACAGATCATAGATCATAATTATGATCCACTTTTGTGCAACATGTTGAAATGGAAAGGAATCATCCCCTGGCCAGGCGGAGAAAATCATGCAGGACTTCAAATTGGATGAGGCGCCATCGTTACAGTAACCAACAGTAACCAACCATTTTGCAGTGCATTAATAAACCAACTAATATAGATATATGGATGGATATAATGGGGAGATCATGGGGATATATGCATATTATATATATAGGATATATAAATATATATATATATATATGTAGATAGATAGATAGATAGATAGATTAGATAGATAGATAGATAGATAGATAGCTAGATAGATAGATATATAGATATATAGATATATATATATATATGTACCATCCATTTTGCTGTGGATAAAATGGGGATATGATGGAGTTTCACATGCCACCTTCCAGTTCCCGAATGTTACCTATCAGATAGGCAACCAACCCCAAAATCATGAGGTAAAACCATCCTGCTTGCCTATCTCAGAGGTACTGTAGCTGGAAGGGTTGGGATAGTTTAACGTGTTGGTTCACCTTTGGCTGTCAGCGAGGGAAGCAAATTGACCTGGTGGGTGACGACCCCAATTGACGAAGATGTCTCGGATGTTTTTGTTCACCACCAACCCGTTAAAAGATTGTACGTTCTTCAGATTTGTGCACGATCATTTTAAGTGCATCCCCCGGCGAGTTTTGCGACAGATCTCGACAGGATGCTTGCTGCAAGATGAGAGAAATTATCGAAAAACGACGCTCGGAGTAGCAGGGGCAACTTGGAGTGACAAAGCCACTAGAAACCCGTGACAACAATAGCCCACAGTAACGAATGGGGCACCATGTATTTAATTATTTGACAAACCCCTGCGGGGACATGGGTATAGGCTTACAAATTACAACATGTGTATTAAAAATATCAATAATAGTATGATATATATATATATATATATGTGTGTGTGTGTGTGTTATTTGTCTAACGTTAGGGTAAATGTGTGGCGTATCCAAGGCACGGTCAGCTCAAACTCTAAGTTTTTGCTGAAGTAGGGTGTGTTTCTATGACTGCGTGCCAATTTGGATAACTTGCTAGGGTAGGTTGACCAAAAAAACATGTTTCTCCAACCAGGAGTGGAGGAACATGGAGTATCATATCCCGGTCCCACATCATCTTCATTCATCTATAAATCTATGCTATTTTTTGCAGGCATCAAGTTCAGCCATGACCACTGGTCCATGGTGACCTACCTTCACCATCCTTTACCTAGCGGGGGCCAGGTTTTAACGATGAAGATGTGGTCATAGCCATGGTTCGTAAGCAGCTGAATGCGGCCAGCAATGCATCCTCCATGCTACTCGGATCCGCAACGGGAACACGCGGGACGGGAGTGACCGTGGGGATGGGTCCAGGAAAATCCACCAAAATGAGGGGTTTCATCATCAAAAATGATGATGAAAACTATATCAAAAATCATACCCTCAAGTACTAAAGGTCCGGAATGGCTGGACCTGGGGACCAGCCGGCAAAGGGTCTAGCATGGCAGAGCGAGGCACTTTACACCCCGCACCTGTCTCATTTTAGATCCATTGACTTTTTATGCATATTATCATTGTACTTATGGAGATCAGATATTTGATTATATTTGTATGTAGTCGCTGATCATGTAGATTCAAGTTCTACATCTTTTAGTGGCAGTGACTGTTGTGTGTTCATCTAGCAAAAAAATACCAATCATGAAATTTCAGAGACCTTGTTGGGCCATATGGGCCCCTAAAAATTGGGAAGGTATAGTGGTACCAAAATGGAAGCGCAATGTGCTCCCAAAACAACATACTAACGTAAATTCTGAAAGGCCCTCCGCTGACATAAAGTTTCAGAGACCCTAATCTCCCAAAATGTTATGATACACTCACTGCAAGTTGAAGAGATATCAGGGGGGATGGTCTAAAATTATATCGCCGTTCAATTAAGAAAACTAAATCAGATCCCTTGGGAACCCCTATTAGCCTATGGAACACTTCAATTTCTTACATTTACTCAGCCAATGCATAGTGGCATAGTGCTCCCAAAATGGAAGCGCATAGTGCTCCCAGAACGAAAGCGCAAAGTTGAAAATTAAATATGTTCTTTGCAAACACTGGTCAAGAGTATTCAAATTTGAGCCCCACATAACAATGCTAACACAAAATCTAAAGTCCCGAAACTGACAATCTTCTAATGTAAAATTCTATGAGACACTCACCGCAAGTTGAAAAGATATCAGTGGGAGGGTCTGAAATATTGCCATTCAATTGCAAGAAATGCCCCACACCTAGGTCACAAGAAAACCAAATTAGACCCCTGTAGCTTGAGAACCCCCTATATGGAATACTTCAAAATTGATACTTAGTCAGTCAATGCATTGTGCTCCCAAAATGGAGGCGCATAGTGATACCTAAATGGAAGCGCATAGTGCTCCCAAAATGGAAGCGCATAGTGGTACCAAAATGAAAGCGCATAGTTGAAGATTAAATATATATATGTTCTTTGCAAAATCTTGTCGAAAGTCAAACGTATTCAAATTTGAGTTTCACAAGAAATATATTTTTGATAGGGCCCAAAGTTGAAGATTTGTTTTCTACTTAATACTCTATCAGTTCCACATTTGCTCATACGTATTCATACCTTGTATCTTGATAGTTCCAAATATGTCCAACGAGAACTGCATTCTAGACCAGGCAACTCCGGGCGCCGTAACGGTTCAGGCTCCATGACGCCAGACCAAAGGTTTGGGGTCCAAAATGAAGGTTTGGAGTCCCTAGTTGGTAGTTGAGGGTTGGAAAAGTCGATAAACATTGAGACATCAGGTGTGATTAAAAACGAAAACGAGGCAGGGTCACAAGATGTCAAGTGCCCATGGTGCATATGCATATGCCTGAGACTGATAATGCGAAGGGCAACATTGGCGTTATTTGTTAAAGGATTTCATGTCAATGCGTTGCCCATGGCAGGCCAGAAAATGACATTCGAATGTTTCACCTTTGGATGCTTTGCATTGCTTCGGTATAATTGGGTTTGTCACTATAAACATGCTTTTTCCTGCGCTAAGAAGATGGATATCATCGAATCTGTCAAACAGATCTTATTGTTGCCTTGGGTTTCATTCCAAATTTAAATTTAGTGGTATTATTTCTCTATGTTTTGTTGGCTTCACTGAAAGCTTTCCGGTCCATCCAACTAAGTTCAATCCAACCCAAGTACTACATGTGTTTGTTGTTTGCTGCTTGTACACATGTTTGCATTATGTAATATGTACATATTAATGCATCTATTGATTCGACAATCGTTATTATGTGTGCTTAATCCTAGTATGCAGTATGCAGTTTTTTTTGACATATTGTTCCCAAATATGTTCCCAATGTGTTCTTTATGTGTGCATTCAAAAAAGTATGTTTGCAAACATGTTTCCTAAGAATGTTTCCTTAAGTATACCCTCTGGTAATTTAACATAACTATTGAAAATGGCCATAGAAATAGTGGATTTTCCCATTAAAAATGGTGGATTTTCCATAGTTATGAAAATCACCATTCTTAATGGGAAAATCCAGTATTAATGGCCATTTTCAATAGCAAACTGTTAGTCACAACCAGAGGGGCCATTTATAGTGGATTTTCCCATTAAAAATTGTGATTTTCCATAGTTATGTAAACGTTTACCAGAGGGTACTTGTTCCCCTTTTTGTTTGCACTTCATGGTGCTTTTGCCAAAAGGAAATCCCCAGGCTCTGCAAGATCGCTCGGCAGCTGATGGACGGCGAAGTCTTACCCGATCCCGTGGAACGAGCTCCCAAAGGCCAGTGGGGCCAGTTCAATGGGAATTTCAGGATCCTAAAATGGAGGTACGTTAGTACCATATAAGGCCATATTTTGGGGGGATATCCCCTTACATAGCCCTTATATAGGCCTTATATATGGTAGGTACCTCCATTTTAGGATCCTGAAATTCCCATTGGCCAGTGGGATCCAAAAATTGCGGCCCGTTTCGGAATGGTAGGCCTTAAGCCCCAAAAAACGTGAGGATGCGATTTAAACATAACTGATATGTTTTTTTTCATCATAGGTTGAATTTGGGATTGGATTTTTTAGAGATTCAACGAGCAATTGAGACCCTCCAACTAACATAGACCCAGATATGTGTGTTTTTTTTCAGACAGCTTTCCTCCAAAACCTGGTGATTTTTGCATGGTCTATGTCAGCTGGGGTTGTAAACGATAAATGGCATACCGATTGAGGCTCCTCGATTTTTCAGAGGACAAGTTGGAGGATCCATGCAATTGTCGATAATTGCAAACTGCCATGGTTACTGTATTACAAATATATATATTTATATATCAAATATTTACACGTATAATACAGTATACATATACATATACATATATATACATACACATATACATATATATAAATATATATATATATACAATACATGCATACATACATAACATTACATTACATAACATTACAATACATTACCTGTATATATATATATATATATTTATGTATATCACATAGCATAGAAGTATATACGATTATATAAGTGATTAAGTCCAGGGAACTTCTCATATTTCGGGCGCTTACCGGAGGTGCATCCTACAACTGTCGACAACCTGAAATGATGAGCTATGCTGGCTACACAGATCATACCCTCTGGTTATGTCAAACATAGCTATTGAAAATGGCTATTGAGGTAGTTGATTTACCTATTAATAGCATGGTGATTTTCCATAGTTATGTTAGTTTACCAGAGGGTATGCTATTTAATTTGTGGCTGGTAGACTTGGAGGATCACACTTTATGGCAAGGGGGAAATGTCGGAAATGACTGTCGGAAATCACGATTTGCTGGAAACATTGACATGCTTGAACACGAATACAATTATTTCTGAAGTGTTCCACTGATCTAACAGAGAATAGTAAGTAGATAGGATAGTTCCTTTTTGGACGGGGTCTATAGCCATACTTACTAAGTTGCTATTTGGGCAGGTAGGCCTAAACCAACATGCGCCAACCACAGGCAGATGGAGATTGTCCATGATCTTCCTGCTTGATTGCTTTTCTTGTTGAGAGAAATTCGTGAGTTCCATTTGCACAAACAGAAATGCAGAACATCTAGAAATGTATCGGAACACCTCTGAAAGTCTGAAAGTAACAAAAACAATGGTTTTCAATGGTTTTCAAGGGTCATGATCTTCACATTGAAATTGGAGGTTTCACTGCCGCCCATGGCACCGCATGATACCTGCCAGGCGGGGGCAAAGGCAAAGATAAGGATGGTGACAAAGGTGACAAAGGTCACGACCACCGGCATCGTCGCAGCCGCAGCAGAGACCGAAGGGACGACAGGAGGGGATTCCAGAGGGCGGGGAAGATTGGATTTGCCCAAGCCCTGGCCATTATGTGGTCCCAACTACCGTAAAAACGGCTTGTTAGTCAAGGTGACTCAATTCGAAATCACCAACTTACCAAAAAAAAATGTTCATTGAATTCAAGTAGAGAAGTATGAAAGCCTTCCATGAATACTGTTCAAAACTTACCAAAAGGAAGACACATTCGCCCACCTTGTGGCAGCCATGGGGTTCCCGTGGCCCCAGGAGGGACCGTGAGGACCGTGAAGAGCGCGACCGGCGTCGAGATCGCTCGCGTTCGAAGCGCTGAACTTTTCGGCAGAAACGGCTGCAGGGCGAGGTGTACCACACTTTCACTGGAGATCACTGGGCATCACTGAGGTATTTCCCAATGTTTGGTATGCTTGATACATTTATACGATGATATGAGATCATTTAAGATATTTTAAGATCAAGAAACCTTTTTGAGATCACAGGTCTACAGGGATGCTTCCTTTCAATGTGTTTGTTTGCTTCCCGTGCTATGTAATTAATGAGGAATTATGTAAAGCCAACAATAAACCAGTCCAGATTGGCGTTTATTATCGGATACCCCTATTGGGGATGAGGCAAATAGTAAATATGACATCCCAATGATTCCTTAATTAAATGATTGGTTTCTGAGGCGGGTTATTGATTGCCGCCCTACAATCTGACATGAGTCGAAGAAGTGGCTTCGGGGGTACGTTCAGAATGTGCTGTGTTGGTGCCGTAAAGTGACGAGTCTAGCAAGGAGAGCAGCACCACATTGGCATTGCTTTGGCTGCCTTTGGCTCAATCGTTTTACAAGACATCAGGACACACATCATGACACGGGTTTTGTAGCAGTGTGAGCCATCGCATGCTGGACACTTTTCCACAACACTTTTCCACCAGCACATCACCAGCACTTTTCCACAACATGCGGCACATGGAAGTACTTTGCAGCTGTCCCGCTCATGAACTCATGGCATGTGTCCGGAGTCATTTTCATGCAACAGATTCTCAGTGGATCGACATGGCATCCGTCAGATTTTGTTTTTAAAAAAGATGACACCAAGCATCAGTCAGTATAATATAATGTTATGCACATTGATGTACATCATATATTTACAAAGCATTTTGTAACTTCAGAACTGGAAGCATTCTTCACCAGGCATCACTCGTTCTGTAAAATCCGTTGGTCGTCTCATGCCCTTGGCGCAGTAGCTTCCCCCAGTCAACTCATTTCGAAACATGGCTGCAACGGCGAAAAGTTCGGAACATGATAAGCCCAGCCCAACAACATTTTCATCATCATCATCATCATCATCATCATGGTTGATGAAACGGTTAAACCATGGATGTGTGTTGGTTAAATATATGAACCCAGCATGTTTGTTGGTGATATCTCCATTATGCTTGGTATTCTACCCTCATATCTCATGTTGATAGGTAAATCCCATTAAATCCCCATTATATAACCTGGTGGAATCCAATACTACACCGGGCTGGTGGCAGAGAGATTCTATGCCCCCTGCTTCGGGGTGCCAGACGATAACAACGTGGCCAAGACTTCAAGGTTGTGGCAGTTGTTCAGGGTCAAAGAGCCATGGTATCCAGTTGTGTCTCTGAATCTGAAAGATTCGGAAGAACCACCCTGAAGCCCATGCCAGGCTTGGGATAGGTTTTGCAAGTTGTAGCGTAGAAAAACACCCGCATTCAGAACGATGGTGTGAAACAAAAATCCACCTGCGCGGTTCCCTGAGCATGTTGTGAAAGAACTGACTATACTAATCTAGACGAATTTACACTGATCATTAGTGAGTGGATCGTACATCTAATAGATTAATAGTCTACCATTGCAATCTAAGATCTCAGGATCTACACCAAAAAACTGAAATCTACCCTCTGGTACTAACATAACTATGGAAAATCACCATTTTTTATGGGAAAATCATCTATAAATGGCCAATTTCAATAGCTTTTTGTATGTTTACCAGGCCGGGTAGTCCTCCAATCTCTTGTCACCCAAGGTCCACCATGAGCGATGCCCCGTCTACTCCAGCTGCGCCCGCCATGGGCGCCATGGGCGCCATGTGCCCCGCCGGCGCCTGTGGAGTGGCCCGGCAAGCAGCTGGAGTTCTAGAGGTTGAATCATGGGAGTATTTTGGCATCCCTGAACTAAATGGAGGTGTTTTAATGGGAAAATCATGGACTCAGATTCTTGGGTCCTGATACTGGTGAAAGCTCAACGATCAAATCCTACAATGTGGGGCCCCCGTTCGATAGCTAAATTGGTGCATATATAGCTCCAATTTCACTATATATGGTTTATGATACTTATAACTATAGTTACTGGGGTGAAACTAAACCAACAGACATAACTGGGGGGCCCACATTGTAGGTATCAGAGATAATCTAGGATAACCCATGATAATCCCATAGCCCTAATTTTCTTGGGATATGATCAACATGAAAGATCAATACTAATTAAGTAGTATTGCTTAGTATTATTTCCCATTATATCCTACAAAGTGGTCCCCCTACATACATAGCCCTTAACAGGTATAAGATGGATTATTGCTTCTGCATGCCAACTCAGGTTATAATAGTATTATAGCAATATCACCCCCGTAAATACCGGAGATAGTCCCATACTTTGTTTATACTAAAAAACACTCCTAAGTAGGGATTTTATAATATTATATAAGATACACAGTGGGCTTTCCTAGATGGCTAAGTTGGTGAACATTATGGTTTATGATACTTATAACTATGGTATACTATGGTTAATGGTTTTTTTTCAACCAATGGGCAGCCCATGACAGCCCCAATAGGTATAGATTCCCTTCATCCACCATGGTTTCCTTTCTTTCAAGGGGAGGGGATTCTGTGAAAATTTGCAGATTCCCTGGGATTCCGTAGAAAAACATAGGAATGTGTTAAAACCACCGGCCACTTTGGATCTAGTTATATCATCCAACAAGCAATAAATATGCGCACTCATTTTTCAAGTAAGATGATATGATAGGAAAATTGGTGCTGGGTGGTCAGCAACATATATAATATTAGATGGTTGCATGATGTTGCACAAACCTATAGTATTTGCAACATTCATAACTGCCCGGTTTAAAAACTATAAAACATTGGTAGTAATAAACAACGAATTTGGCAGTTTCATTTTGCTACGTCCGATCCCATTTGGGATGTGATGGTTTTGGTTTGTTATTTTGATATGATTGATGCCGGAATCAAGGGGCATGAATTGTTTTTTCTTGTGGGGGTTTGCAGATGAAGACAACCATTTCACAATTTCTCGGACAAACCAAACGGCAGAAACTGTATGGCAAATAGACCGCGTATAGACGCTGGGCATGTCTCCGGGAAAAAAATATCAGCTGGTAAGGGGAAACACCCCATCTTCGGGAACAAACATCCATACATCCAACCTATTTACAAGGTAGCGCCCCAGTTCGTTAGCTAAGTTGGTTTATAACTCCACTAAGTAGGGTAATCATGGGTAATCTATAGTTCCTTGGGTTTAAAAACCAACAAAAATAACTTGGCGGGCACCTTGTATGTCTTCACCTTGGACGGCTTCCCAGCGACACGGAATCCAGGCCGGCTGCATGCCGTGCGGCTGTGGTGCCAGCAGCCCTGCAGCCGGCTGTGGGGGTTGCCCTGGCTGTGGCTGTCCCTCTATGCCTGGAGCTTGTCCCACCATGCCTGGGGGATGCCCCATGGGCGGCTGTGGCTGCGGATGTGCCTGGAACGAGTTATGGCGAGGGCTTTTGGGGATGCCAAATTAGGGTGGCAAATGCGGGAAAACTGGCAACAAATGAATGGATACAAAGGAAATAAATGTAATTATAGAGGATAGAGGTAAAGATGCACTTATATATATATATATATAATATGTATATATATATATATACATATCGTGGAACACAGGACCGTAAGGTGGTGTAGATACTGAGCAACCATGTCAAATTGGGTTGCCGCCAAATAGGGTTGCCATAAACTACGTGTGTGGGAACACTATGGAAACCAATGCGGCCGTCCTGAATGCATCTTGGAATAGGTCGTTTTTGGTGTCATTGATGAACCTGTTTTCTTTGTGTTGTTATGGGCCTGTCAAGGCTATGCAAAGAAGAACAAAGAAGAGCTTGGCTCTTCATCACATCAACGGCAAATCGATTGCTCTTTTGTAAGCCAAGAGAAACTCCAGCGTGAAATCTGACTTAAAGTAAAAAATGATAAAGATTGGTTACCATTCTATTTGTTGGGTCGGGCTACTGTACATAAATACATGTATATATATATATAATATACATTTACATATATATATATACATTTACATATATATATATATATACACATTTACACACACACACATATATATATATATACATTTACATATATTTATATATATGTACCATTATGTACCAGTATAAATATAATTACCCCCTGAAATAACATAGATGTGGAAACCCCACCTAGGTCCAGGTGCGTGCGGTTGTGGATGCCCAGGCCAGTTGGGCAGGGGATGCGGTTTCTTTTTTTGGGGGGGTTGCCTTGAAATGTCCCATGCCACAACTGATCGGAGGGGAATTGTGCAGGAAAAAGTATAGAAAATAGACAACATATATTAGGTTCAAAAACCATGGTTTCTATATGGTTTGCTGTTGCTTAATGGCCTCAAATCAATCGCCGCAAACAAACAAAGTGTGGGAACCTTGCTTAGACGTGTTTCCATGCGTTTACAACTTTAAAAAGTTGTTCATAAGTGAGGTTAGCAACTGGGAAAATCCTACAGAGCCAGGATTCTTTCATATTCTTTCCGACTTCGGGATGAGTCCGGCTTGAGGTGCTTGCGGAATGATGCCTGGCATGATGGGCATGAGACCCGGAATGCCAGGCATGGCAGGCAACCCGATGATGATGCAAATGATGATGATGAACATGATGAACATGCACCTCGCACTGAAAAAGCATGGAAAGATTAATATAAGGGAAACAAAAAATGGGAGATAGAGGAGATATCAGCAGCAAACATCGAATTATATACCTGTAGCCTCTAGTCGAGGGAGGGCAGCCATCAGCTAGCACCTCACAGCACCAACAAGAGAAATGGGAGATGGGGAGTGCCTTTTGTTTAAGGGTGTGTTGCGTTTTTTTTGAAAATAATGGGACAACACCAAAGCCAAGTAGTTTGTCATCATTAGCCCCATAATTGTATGTTTACATCCAGTTTTCAGACATACTCAAATATACACTCAAACAAAATGGTGCTGTATGATGCTGTATGTGCGTATGTACATATATATATATATGTATTTAATGGATAATGTCCCCCAATTATATCCAAAATATGGTTGATTTTGTAGTTACATCATGTTATATCCCAAGTGTAAAGGCAATGGCAGGCTGCGGATAGCGGATCCCGGATCCCCCAGCATTTTTTTTGTAGGATTTGCCCATCGTTTTCCGAAAAAAGGTGATGTTTCACAGCAGGCCACCTTGAGAATTGCCCGTGTTTTATTAGGGCGGCTCTGAGATCGGAGGAAAAGATGACAACTTTCCTGGTGCTTTCAATATTTGTCATTATTTGCCTCCCATGGCCCAGGCAGCAGATGATGGCCAAAGGTGGTGACAAGAACAACCCCATGGCAGCCATGATGGGTGGTATGGGAGCAATGGGGATGCCCAACCCCATGGCAGCGGCAGCTGAAGAACCCAAGGAAAAAGATAAACCTTTGACCTGGAAGGACACGTGGGATGGTGCTGGTCGCGTGATGATCCTGATGGCTGGAGAGCATCTGAATGGTTGGATCAAGAGGATGTACAATATTTGAAGCGGAATCGTACACTTCCAAGTCAATCTCATCCATCTCAATGGGAAGTTCAGGATCCATTTTCTGGAGGTACTGTACCAGATAAATATTATATAAGGCCATATTTTCTAGGGATATTCCCTTACATTAGCCTTCTTTTTGGCCTTAATGGTAGGTATCTCCAGCAGCATCAGCCCCGATGAGGAAGACGATGAAGAGATTGACCCAGATGTCCGGGAACTGGGCGACTACTTCAACATCGAAGAGCGTTGGGTAGCTCGTCATGGATGAAAAAAAAGCCCATCCAAACCCTGGTTGATGATTAGTTGGGGGATTATACTACCCTTCATATATTGGGGTTCTAATAATCCAAGAACGGGGAATCCAAAAAAAAACCAAGCAGTATTTTGGAATGATATACGGATTTTGAACACTGCTCATTAATATGTGCAATATTGTACTTCAATTGGCTGACATAGATACTAGAACATCTTGGCGATGTTCAGTTCAGGAGATTATTGCACAAGTTTTGCCCCAGTCGACCGGGGCAAGTTACGGTATCAGAAGAGATGCTGTCTTTTTCATATTCGTTTGGTGCATTTTCGGCCTATGATTATCAAAATTGAAGTTGATAAGCAGATAGCACTTGTTTTTTTTAAAACTCTCAGATGTTGAGAAGTCAAAACTAAATGGCTATGAAGCAAAATTATCAAAACCGATGAAAACACCGTATTTTTTTAGGGGGATGAACATCAGTTTCTTTGGGATTCACAGGCTTCCATGGGTTCCGGATTGGAAAGTCTCAGGTGGTGCGATTGAATGAAGCTATGAAGAAACGGACAGAATCCTGGCTGCTGCAACTAACCATACCCGTGGGGTTGGATGATTTTGGCCGATTTGCAGGCTTCAAATTTCACCATTTGGAAGTACAAATGATGTCTAGAATCTGCATATCTTGATAGGTCAATGTGTGGTTCGTTTTTTCATGTTTATCTTTGATGCACAGAAGCTGAGTGATGGTGGATGGTTTTTTTCATGATTTGACAGGTCGCCAGCAATCCCTCCAAGGAGACGAAGGCCCAAGACATTGAGAAGTTGTACGAGGTGCTCGAGAAGGCTCGAAGCCCCACAGGGCTGCTGACGGTGCAGATTGGCAAGATGGAATGCGGTCAGTTCGTGGGGAAGATCAAGCCAGACACTTGGCGGCATGGGAAATCCACCTTTATGACTGGGAAATCCATAGTGAAGTTGTGAGCAATTGAAATGATATGGTCCATATGGGTCCCTTAAGCAAATCCAGGTATCAACAAAAAATGAATCGTGAGATTGCGCTCTTAAGTAATGGTTCCAAAAGCTCAGCTCCATGGGTATCTGGGATAAAGCCCAAATCTGCTGTGCCATAATTAGGTTTCGTCATTGTTCCCTTCCAAGATCTATCATTATCATCAACACTTTTTGATATGATTATATAATATGATTCAATCATTATCATCATTCTGGGTAAATTTGATCACGACCTCACTGTTCGAACCCTGGACTCATGGATTTTTTGAAAGGAAATCATCCCCAAATGGCCCAAGATGTGAAATACAAAAATTTACCCAGATCATTGGGTGGATCATCTAAATCACCATTTTTTCTTTCCAACATCTCACGTCGCGATGTTCCACCCAGGCGCTTGCGCCAACGAAGTGGATAAATCCCAGCATGAATTCTCCAAGATTTCATGGTGGTTCATCAGTTGGTGAATTTCTTGAACCCCCTTAAAAACCATCAAAATTAGATCGACAAGTATAATGTACCACAATTTTCATGGGAATTTCTATGTTTCTATCTCTCTTTTAGTAACTTTTTGACTGATCCCAGAACACCTGGGATTTACTGACTTACTTCTCACCGCAGATTACATGCGGAGAGTTTAAAATGCATCAGACAGAATCTACAGATCTAAAAAGAATGTGTATATATATATTATAATTTATGTGTGAGTGTTAGCATTATTATTAGCCTTATTCTTATTTCACACACACAAACATACACACACATATATATATATATAATATTTGTTTATATATATATATACTCTCAGGCAACTAATATATAAACATTATTTATATATTAGTTGCCTGAGAGTAATATATACAAATATATACAAATAATAGATCTCCAGGCCTTTAAAAGGCCATGTTTTCAGGACAAAGACGTGGAACGCATGGCGCGGAAGTTCAAGTTGGACGATCCGGTGACCTCCCGGTTGACGGAGCTGAAGGCGCCATGGTTTCGGCGAAGTCCCACCGGGTGGCTTCCCACCAAGGGGTCCTTAAAACCTATGGGAAATCATGGGAAAAAATGGGAAATCCCGGAACGAAATGGAGGTTTAATATGATTTGATATGATTTAATATATCTTAGTGGGAAAATGATCTGGAAATGGCCCAAGATGTCAGGTTAGTGAAATATTATAATTTACCCAGATCAATGGTTATTGCTACTATCAGCAAGTATCAAAAACCATAGGGTCTTCGGTTGCATCAGTCTTGGATCTGTCCAGGTGTGGCGCAAGCGCAACGGAGAAGAGGACACCGACACCGACGGTTTGTTTGTTTGTTTTTTTGCCACAGCAAGTAGTGTGGTTTCCAAAGGAATAGACGTGACAAGTAGAATCCCTTGTTTGTTTCATTGAAATATCTATGTGATTGTTGTAATCGTCGGAATATTAAATCTGTTGGATTCGTTTGAGCATACAGGTACCCTGGAATTGAGGTGTGTAGGGAATGAAGTAGCTGCATGAAGCCAGGCCAGTGTGTGATGAAGTAGCTGCAGGGCCGGTGTTTTCAGAAGCCGGACTTTTGCTTCTAAAGCTCATTCTTGTTGACTATATACTTGGAAATCTCTACGTTTGGGGTTTGCATTGTAGTTCTTGGTTGCTTTATACAGCTCTTTGGTTTCGCAAACCCAGAAATGCATATGGCTAGATCATAGCGACCTCACTGTGACTGGAATCAGTAAGGGGGATTCTCCCAGTGTAGCCTTACACACACATATATATATATATAAAATCATATGTACATATACGTATATATTTCCCATTTATTTCCCATATATTTCCCATAGATGTCTGCAAGCTTTGGTGAGATGACAGTTTTTCGAACTCCCTCGCAGGATCGCGCCACCAAAGACCTGGAACGGATCGAATATCACCTCCGCGCCTCGGAATCATCCCCCAAATGGCCCAAGATTTCAGCTATCCATTCGGGCAGGGCATGGGCAAAGGGAAGATGAGTGGCCCAACATTTCAGGTGTTAGTGAATTATTATAACTCATAGGATCCATGTATGCCATATATGGTAACATTTACCATCAATATACCCCCAATGTTAGCATATATAGCATACATGGATCCTATGGGTAATTTGCCCAGAAAATGATGGTAAATGCTTGTGAAATGATGTTTTTTTGGTTTATGCATGTTTGAGAGATAGAAATTCTGATGTTGAGGTTCCATTTGATATAGGGCTGATGGCATGTGATGTGATATACACAAATGTATGTATAATACGTATATTCGTATATGTATATATATATATTATTGCACAGATATGTAGAAGAAAGCAGCTATGGCAGATTGATTTATGAGGTTTTTGGGGAAACAGTTATGGCAGCGATGAGAAGGAACTCTACTAAATTGCTGTGGTTTCAACATAATTCTTGGTCGAGGCCGATGGCATTGGGACGTCCGGTCCCAGGGACTCATCAAGGTGTTGAAAAAACTAACATGACATGTCGTCAGTGTTCGGATTTTAATATTGGTTGAGTTGTCATCCCATATGTTCTACGATTTTGTATATAGAACGGTCCGGAATCGTTGTTTCCCTACCGAATCGATTACACCTGCAATGACTTAACAGCTGATTGAAATGGCAAACAGAGATCATTCTCCCAGGTTGCCATTACCATGTTTACTTTCCAGTGGCTACTCATCTCCCCATTTACAGATGTTGCTCCCAGTGGTTGCGGCGAACAATATTAATTTATTTCATTCTGATGATAAAACAACGATTTATAATATTGACTTTATTGTTGGTTTCATAAAAAATAATGATTTAATGCAGGTTTCAAGGTCCGAGAAATCTTCCGGGATCTCTTTGATGACCAGCACTGATCCCATCCTGTGGACGTACAGCTCGAGCTCAGCTCAGGCTTTGCCAAGCGGCCCAATGCTTTGTGCACCCTTTTGGCCACATCCTTAGTGCTAAAACCAGACCTGCGACAGGGAGAAATGAATAGTTACTCTTTGGCAATTTAGATAGCAATGGAAAATGATCCATCTAAATTTATAGATGATTTACGAGGAATTTACCATGATTACCATGATTTACCTATCAAAGATGGTGACTTGGCACAGCTATCTTAAATTACCAGAGGGATCCAGAGGATAATTTCATGTAATTTCCATGTCGTCAATGTGGTCTACTTCTGCCCTGCCGAAATCCCAACCATTTTTAGCATGTTGAAATCGGCGATCTATTACCCCAAGAGAACCGATGGAGAGATTACCCAGAGATTACCGCCAGAAAAATGGTGAAAATCGGTACTAAAATCAATGAAAATCATAGTTCCCCAGAGTTTCCATACAAAAAACTAGGCCAAACATTGGGCTCCCGTCCCGGGATGGGATGGGTTGAGGTTGGAAAACTGCTGGAGGGCGAAGTGGATGAGCTCCCTGACCTCACCAAGGCCATATTGGGATTTCACCGTGATTTTAATGGATTTGAGGGTTAGATAGGCTTAGGAGTTATAGAATGATAGGCTTAGGACACGGGATTGTCTGGAATTTCGGTGAATCAGCACTGTTACTGCCTCGTTCTGAAAAAGGAAATCCCATCTGGACTATTACTAGTTGTGTATGTATCCCAAAATGTAACATATGGACCCCCAAACAACGTGGCTTTCGAAGATGTTGTTTTGAAGACGGTACATATCAAGAAGCACACAATTTCAGCTTCAGAGGTGCATTGTGTTTCGCATTTCGCATTGCTGGCAGGAACCCCAAAAACTCCCCAGCCACAGCCCCACAAAGACAGGAACACACGCTAGTGAACTCAAAAAAACAAACATCCCCAAAGATATCCATTATGAATGAATCACAATGACCCCACTGTGAAATCGCTGGAATGATGCTTGGTAAGAGGAATCATCCCCAAATGGCTGCAAGTTTCAGCTAATTTCAATCTAGTGAGTTACTATAATTCAGCCAGAATGCTGATTATTATATTATGACTATTGTCATCTATTGTCTATAGAGATACAACTACCAAAGATTGACTATTGTTTATATCATATCTACAAATAATGCAATGTATTGCGAAACATCTGAATTTTCTCCACAAAATCTGTGCCGCAGCACAGGCCGAAAAGGTGATGACGGATTATAAATTGGATGAGGCCAGGAGGGCATGGCGCATCGATGTGGACCAAATGGCTCAATTGTTGTGGGAAAAGGAGGCAAAATGAGGAGGAATTGCTGGTTGGTGGTGATATTTTTTGGTTTTTCCATATATTGGGAGTCATAACCCCATTTGACTAGTATTTTTCAGAGGGGTTGAAACCACCAACTATAGATTGTTTTTTGCTCCATCACTTCCAGGAGAACTTCGAGATTGCACTTAATGTTTGCTTGTTCAAATGGTAGATCTAAATACTGCATTATGAGCATGCATAGGAAAGCTTGGGTTTTGGCTGGCGATTGAGGGGGTCCCCGGCCATTTTCCTGACACGACCGAGTCACCAACCGAAGTGGCTCGCAAGGCCTTGCCGTATATTACATGATTGTGGTAAGCGCAAGAATCCCCAATATCACTGGAAATGGGTGGTTAAATATATAAATATATATAATATATACACGCATATCAAAACAAATAAACCCTCCAAAAACTGAAGGTTCAGGGCATTGGGTTACAATGGATGCAGCCACTCATCCTGACTTCAGGATGCATGCTGCAAGATGCGGGAAATTATCGAGAAGCGTCACTCGGATGCGGTACCGTTGATGATTGAAACCCCATACTTTTGGGGTGCAACGTGGAGCTATTTTCCCATCATGACAGTTGTGAAGAAGGACACCTTGTTTGGTTAAGGGTTTCACTTGCTGTCATGAGAATCCTATAGAATCTTTCACTTTGATGTGCATTATAGAATCTTAATAGTTTAAGTAATTGAGTTATTAGTAGTGGTATCATGTTGGAGCACGGTTATGATTTTGTTTTTCCAACGTAGAAATGGGATGTGTGTCCAGATTGATGAGATTTTGGGGGTGGTGGCTCAACCACCAACACCTTAGTTTTTTTTGTTCAATCCCATCAAGCAGTTTGATATATCAACCATAAACCAAGTTGGTTATACACTCTAGATATAAGTTGGTTAAACCAGTAAATTGATGATTATTAGCCAATATTGGACATCAGCTGCTAAAGCTACTAAAGTTTAAAGCTACTTTTAAAAGCAAGCTAACTAGTTTTATTTCGAACATATCAAGCATACTCAACCACAAATCCTGGTGAACCGACTCATAACATGTGTATATCAACTATAGTTCCTAGCAAACCATAGTTACCATAGATGTTCTTTTCCCTCTGGTTGGTTGATAGAGGGTTCCCCCCATTCAACAAGCAATATATAGGTAGATTATCATACATATTACAAACCGGCCCCTCTATGTTCAAAATGACAATATTGATAGTTACCCTACTTCCAAAATTCTGATGTCAGCCATCCAAACCATAGTTACCAATAGTTCCCCAACAAGCCAAGAAAACTCCCGTTCTCCCAGGTGTCCACGACGAAGACGCGGTGCTGACCAGCGTCCGGAAGCATCTCAACACGGCCAGCAACGCTTCCTCCATGCGCCTCGCATTGACCCTCCGGATCGATGATAGAATGATTTTTTGAGATTTGATAGCGATTTACTCCTTGGTCATTAAACATAGCTATGGAAGCCATGACCCATTTATAGATGATGTACCATGATGTACCTATGAAAAATGGTGATTCCCCATGGCTATGGGACATTCATGGGATAAAGGGAGGTGTTATTCGATGTTTTTTTTGATGGCTTATTTATGGGAGAAATGGAGGTGTTATGGGATATTCATAAGATATGTATATAGGATAAATATGGATCACTTGGGATCTAAAATCAACCATAACTAGGATATAATGATGATCAAGTAAGCCAATTACCTTTCGCTAATGGTGTTTCAAGGGTGTTTTCATGGTGGTTTAATGGGCATATACATGAATTTAGCCAATTGCTGGAAAAGTCACAATTTTGTCGCTTTAGTTGAATCACGTGCCCACAACAAACTCCATTTTATGTCAGATTTTCCATTGCCACGTTTCATTACGAAGGGGTATTTGGAATTTCTATGAGAAAATACGGGAAATACCTATGGGAAAATATGGGAACATGATGATTGTGTAGGGGATTGATACGGATTGATCAGCGGAAAACAGGGATCTTATAGAGATACAATGGGAATGCACCCACAAATACATGTACATATTGGACATCCGTTATTTTAATTTATGGCAACTAGATTACTCTTGGTTTAGACTGTTGGGAACGTCTCAAGTATTCTTAGATATTTGAAAGACAAAGGAACCAAAGAGTTTGAATCCGAGGGTGTTGAGGATAACCGTGGGATGCACATTCCTGTGAACACAACAGGAATCTTACTTGGTGATTCACTACCTGGCATTTGATCCCAGTTATAACTGGACTAACCCTACTTACCTTATAATTGGAGTTATGACCCACTTATACTACCCTCTGGAAGTCTCTGGAAATCAACCATGGCAATAGAAAATCCCTGATTTGTATTAATGTTCCCCCAGGAAAACCTATATCTATTGTGGTGCCCCCCAGTTATGTTTGTTGGTTTATAAACGTTCGTTATACCATAAACCATAAGTGAAATTGGAATTATGTTCACCAACCAACTTAGCGATTTCATACAGGGTGGCCCCATCTTGTAGAGGATTCATTGGATTGGTTTAAGGGAAAATCTACAGGAAACCATCGATTTTCCCATTAAATATGAGGTTTTCCTGTAAAATTTCCCTTAAACCAATCCATTGAAGGATTTCCCAGATTTTCCCAGCTCTGTTTGATTTCGGGGATTTCCCAACGGGGCACCGTTCGTCCCCTTGTCGCGTCAGGTTGTGCAAGATCGCTCGGCAGCTGATGGACGGAGAGATCTTGCCTGATCCACCAGAGAGACCTCCCAAGGGTGGGCAGTGGGGCAGTGGTTGGCATGGCGACTCCGCGAGGAACTATATGTTTTACACCTACACACATATCTATGTACATATATGCAATATTTATGTAATATTAATGTATATATATATATATAACTATATATGGATACACTTATAAATAACAAGTCATGTGTGTGTAAAACGAAACATTATGCCTATTATGCTTGTAAAACGTGTGTGTGTGTGTATGCGCTCAGTGCATATCATCAGGAGGTGGGGTGACCCAGGATGGAACATCATGGAGCAGTCATCCAGAACCTCGTTTTCTGAACAACGGAAAATGGATCACCGATCCAAATGACTTTGCTGTAGATGTAATATTTGTGTTCCTGCTGATGATGCAAGGCCTTGGCCTGAAATTGGTTTCAACATAGGGCACGCGCACTTCCAGTGGATTACCATCATTGTTCCATAAACATGGCAATAAATTGGGCCACACCCCATTTCAGGACAATTTGGACACCAAACAAATATCACACTGCCGCATACACATCCTGCAGTGGGTCCCAGTGTTAAATCCTAATTGCCGGTGTTTAAATCTCTGTGTTTGTTAAATACATCTGTGATCTGTGCTGGTAAAACCTCCATTTCCGTTGGTAAAATCATGTGTGGATGAGCAAGGCCAGCTATGACCGCAACCTGCTAGGCGCTGGAAAGGGTAAGGACAAAGACAAGGACGGCGATAAGGGCGACAAGCACGACAAGCACGAGAAGCACGACAAGCACGACCGGGACCGACGTGAGCGTCGCAGCCGAAGCAGGGACCGCGACAGGTCGGGGACTGGATGGTGCGAAGACCATCGAAGACCTGCTGGTGTTGAGAACCATTCAATATTGGTTACAGCAACCCCCACAAGATGGAAAAGTCAAATCCTTCTGAAATAATGGGGAACTTTGTTCTTTTTTTAGTTCACTATAGTTGGATGTGCATCCAAGTTGGTATGCATAATCTTATATATAGTTGGGGATATCCTTCATACAACTGGGTCACAACAATGGTGCATGCGTATTGAGATATATTGGATATCTACTGGCGTGCACATCCAAATGCCCGCCAGGAATTTCATCTCAATTTCAATAGATAAAATTTCATTGCTACTTGCTTGGCTAGTAAAAGGGTCATTACATCTCCAAACTTGTCGCGTGGCTACAAGACATCACCACTTTGGCTTGCTGATCAAGCCACGATTTTGGCATACCAATAATTGATCATTATCTGGGGTTTGGCAATCAAACATGGCAATGGAATAATCCATAATAATCCCTTATACATGGAGCTTTGCTGAGGAAAAAATATCATATATCAAATCAATGGGTGATTTGACATGTTTGATTACCAAAGGGTAGTTTAGATCCCAGTTACCCAGTTCATCTCCTCTCACATCCTCTCACCGACCGCCAGGAAAGACCGCGACCGTCGTGAACGGCGCGATAGCCGGGACCGCTGAAGCAGGGGAAATGTCCCATGTGCAAAAGCAAGAACGTGACAACCCCAACTTCAACCCGAAAAAAACACATGTTGAAGAAATGGCCATAGGCCCACATCATCCCATAGCCATAGTTTTAATATATTGTTTCTGTAGTCAAGTATCGACTTTGTATAGTGGGGCGTGTTTCATGTGTTGTTTGCGTTTGACACGGGATGTAGAGGTGGAACATTGATGCCATCCAGCGGGTTGCTTGCGATTGCACAGCTTGGCGCCATTTTTGGGGCACAGATCGATGACGGGGCTGCCCTCGGGCCGCCTCAAAAGAAACATGGTGACTTCAGCCATGGGACCCCCTGAGATTTCTGGGCTGGAACCTAACTCTCAGGGGATTGATGTAAGCTCATGGGCACAGGTTCCAGCTTGAAATGTGGGGGGGTGTAGTGTCAAAGTTCCAAGTTCTGAATTCCAGTTGTGAGTTGGTGTGGTGGCTGCCGGACCAATGGGAAACTACATCTCAGGTGGAGAAAAAGGTGGCTGCTGGAGTTGGGGGCTTCCTTGTCATGATGTCACCATAGATCTGGGATGATCTGGGTAAATTATAGCGACCTCACTGTTCTCCCTCAGTGGAATCATGGTTAATAAGGGAAATCATCCCCAAATGGCCGAACAATTCAGGTTAGTCAAATATTATAATTTACCCAGATAGATTGTGGTTACAAGATTAAAGGGAACGTTCCCAGAATGGCTGAACTTTTCAGCGTTTGACCATGAATTACTATATAATTGCTGCAGATGGATTACTGGTTGTTGGTTTCCACATGTTTCCACATGTCAAAAATGGCTTACATTCCATCCTGCAGGTAGCTTAGTGGGATTTTCCACTGGCAACATTGTAGCCATGGGTTGAAACATGTTGGAACCATCAATCAAGTTTCTTTTTGTTCCAACGTGATTGATGGATGGTTATTATGATATCCTGCCTAATTTGAAAAACCATAGATGGTTATTATTGATGGATGGTTATTCATCTACCATAGATGGATGATGGATTATTATGATATCCTGCCTTCCTTGGCACGGTGTCTAAGATTAGCACTGTCAAGAGCTGGGTGTTCGCTGGGCGTTCGTGTGCGACACTGGTCCCACTGATTCTGACAAGGTGGTGCCCCCAGCTGCTGGTTTACGCTTGCCTTCCAGTTACCTCTGAGATTGGTGACCGAGGTGATTTTACTTGGTTACCTATCTGACAGGCAACTGGAACATGACGGATAAATATATCATGGTACTGTATATCATGGTATATCTAAGATCTAGAATATTTTTTGTATTTTCTTTTAACCTCCTTGTAGACCAACTTTGCTACTCAAAGTGGCCAAAATTCTCGGGCCTTGTGACACGCAGATTTCGGCCAGGAATGCTTGGAGTGCTCATGCGGTTTCACGCCCCTTGGACCCACTTCGAATGTAGACGACGTCTAAGTGTTGATACAAATTCATATGTATATAATAATATTATATATATATGTATGTATGTATGTACATAGTTCATTCTATATATATATAATTATATTATGTATACACATTCACATGCAGAGTGCCCGTGCGTTCTGTGAATGATGTTGATCTGGTGCCGGAGATCTCGTGAATCCCTGGCCAACTAAGGTGCGGAACACCGAAACTTGGCCACTTACGGCGGTGCTAAACGTAGGGAATGGATGGGTTGCTGGGGGTTGCTGGGATGATTATTGATAGTTAGCCAGTGGATCATTCACCCGAAAATTCCCTGCGTTTAGCACCAGTAAGTATCTTAATGGGGAAGATCGATGTTGGAGTACTGGGTACCCTAAGCCTTTTTTTTCCAGACTCGCCATACGCATGAACACCTGGAGTTGGAGAAAGAATAGGGATTTCTCAGATGACCATTCATTTGCAAGTTGCAATTATGTTGGATCCAAAATGGCATTTGGGGCACGAAATTGGACATTGCTTGAGGGGATTGGAGTCCGTGGTCTTCAAAATAGGAGGATCCAGGTCCACTAAACTGTGAAAACCGGACCCCCCCAAAAAAGGTATTTTTTGGGATTCATCCCCATTTCACACTGGTTCTATAGATATAATTATATATATATATAGTTATGTCATATCCCCATTATATCCAATTTGTTGAGGCATTAAATCTCAAATATCTTCAGTCTGCAGATGAGGACTGCAATGCAAAAGCATCGCGGCCGCTGCTCGCTCGATGCTCGTAGTCACTTGGCCAGGCCATATGAATTTGGTTTTGAGGTATAGGTAAGTGTGGTCCATGAGTTTGTATAGCTCCAAGATAGGGGGATGTGTGACAGTGTGTGTGCCCCCAGCATTAAGTTCTTTATATGGAATATATATTGGTTTAACCGAGTTTAACCTACTTATAAACAAGTTTTGTTAACTATGTGGAACATATTTCTACAATGAGACCTAAGAGTAGGCCTCCATTTCCCTGGTTGGATTCTCATGTTTACGGGGCCATGTTTTGCTATGTTTGTTTGTCCTTTGTTTTGGGGTATAATTGAATGATTTTCCTAAACCCTCATTGATTTGCCATGTTCATTTCCTTATTTATTCTGGGGAATTGGGAGGTGCAGCTCCACTTTTCAAGTAGATACTGGTGAAATCACCAGTTTTTGCAGCCTTTGTGGAGATTTTGGGATTCCACCTATGGGGAGGGGTTCCTTTTCAATCGCCTCGCTTCAGCAAGGCCTACCTGCCACGCCGCACCACAGAGAGGAGTCGTCCGACCAGCCCCTGATGTCCAGGAGCCATGGTTCATTGGATTGGCTAAAGGGAAAATCTTCGCCGGAAACCATGGTTTGTTGCCATGAAAAATATTGGGGGTTTCCTGTACCCTCTGGTTATGACTCACAGTTCGCCATGGTATAGATAGAAATAGATGGTTTACCGTTCTTAATAGCATGGGGATTTTCCATGGCAAACTGTGAATGTCATAACCAGATGGTAAAACCCATTAAATTCCATTAAACCACCATTTTCCTATGGTTTTCCTATGGTTTCCTATGGTAATTTTTCCCAACCAATCCAATGGGAGAATCCACTGGATGGGGACGTGCTCGACTGGATGTCGTCAGGAGTTTGACCACCAGCCCGGGGGAGAAGAGGCCAATTTTTCTTGTCGCTGCCAGGCATTGTGAAAGGTGATTTGGGGGTTTCCTAAAATGGTGGATCCTCAAAATGCTTGATTTATTTCATGGAAACCCCTTTTAAAAAAATGGATGATTTAGGGGTACCCCCCATTTCAGGAAACCTCCATTTGTTGAGATTCAGGATTTTCATGAGTTTCGAATTTCCAAGTTCAGAGGATAGTTGTACAAAAACCATGTTTAGTGGGCTGTGTTTTGAAAATCCTGCAGCTTCTTCACCCTTTTGGTTGTCTTGAGCTCTGTAATCGAACGTGGCACGGCGAAGATTCGCAGGGGTTGGTGAATGTCCAGTTTTGAAGATTTTGAACATCACTTTCAAGTATATGTTGGAGACTATATCCATCTATATCCCCATAGTTGGGTGATGTGCAATTAGGACATTGATTAAAAACTCTGTTTCGTTTCCGTATGAGATTGGTGTTTCCCTACCGTGTCAGATTATGATATATATATATACATACATATGTATCTATATATAGCATTGGGTAATAGCAATTATATACCAATTTTTATATATTGATTTGGGTTTCGGTAATCAGGTAGGTCTGACCAGGTCTGACCTTCCTTTTTGGCTGGGCTTGTACCATTGATGTCCAACAAGTTTTTTGTGTGTGTTTAGGGGCGGTTCATGATAACATACCAGTTTGTCGCACATGCTTGGGATACGGCCCCCATACACACCTGCCAGGTCTACGATTACATGTACATAGAATCCTCGACATATTTGTATGTATATATAGTTGTATATATGCATATGATATATGCATGTATGTTCATATATATATATATATGTACATATATATATATATATACATACATACATACATATGTATATAATATATGTATGTATAATTATGTATATATATATATACATACATATATTATATACATATGTATATACATACATATATTTTTTTCTGGACTTTCTCTGTTGCCTGACTTGTCACTTTCAGATTTGAACCCAGTGCCTGCGGCCAGGGCTCAGTTGCGCCATGCCAGCAGCAGCGTGCAGTCCTACAAGACTCAGCTGCGACGGCAAGGCCAGCGATCAAAAGTGGATAACCCGATAGGAACCCCAACCAACCGGATGGATTCAATGTGGTGCCCCCCAGTGATGTTTATTGTTGGTTTATAATCCCATTAACTGTAGATATATCACCAACAAAAACCATAGTTATTGGAGTTATTTGCACCAACTTAGCTATCGTTTGGGGGCATCACCTTGTAGGTATTCATGTTTTATTTGTATTATTTGTTTCGCTATAAATTGAAAATATCCAAACCCAGCAAAGGATGATGCTGTTGTCAAAGATTTACCTTGGTGCTTGCATCTTTTGCCCTTTCAAATGGTGATGTTCCGTTTCTATGTAAATGACCAGAGGGCAAAGCGTGGATTGGAAATTGTGTCAATCAATACTCCAATCATCTCCAATCTTTTGCCGGCGGAATCGGTTTTTTTGGACCAGCAATGATCGGAGCTTCATTCCCATAGTCCCAATCTGCAGGAAGCGATGGAACCCTTTGCTGCCCGTGTGGCTTTACTTGCGGTACAGCTATGGCCTGGGACAAGCACCAGCTAAGGCCACCGAACGGACTGCTGGCACTGGCACTGGCGATCCGTTTTTTTCTACGTCATGTCATATCAGCCATGGAGATTGTGATGGTGTTGTATAAGATTTATTAGGATTTACCATGAACATTCATGAACCAGATGTATACTGGGTAGCCACAACGCAATAAGTTTCCAATGGAATGTGCTGCCCAGCTGCAGTGACAGGTGGCCTGTTGCCAAGGTGATGCTACAGCAGGTTACCCAGCACAACCCAATTTCATAGCTTACCCCCAAAGAAAGAGGGGACGCACAGGCACCCACACACACATCACATATATACATATATATTTATGTATATATATATATAGATATACATATATAGGTATATACATATATACATGTATATATATATACATGTATATATATATGTAAATATATATATATATACGTATATATATATATATGTATATATATATACATATATACATATATATATATATGTTTACACATATATATATATATACATATATATATATACATATATATATATATACATATATATATATATATTTACATATATATATGTATACATACATACATACATACATACAAAATCATAAAAATGTCACATCCACTGTGAGGGCCTGACATGGCCTGACTGCCCAGTTTTTCAAAATAAGACACACGTTTTTTTTTTTAAGATAAGTTGGTCTATCAGTGAATCTACTTGCTGGCCACAGCGCATCGGCGCCGCAGGTGTGAGCAAAATGACTTGCCCAACCAGCCCGCCAAAGCTCCGGAAGTTCTTGAAGCTCCGCCCGCAAGCGCACCACGGCGACCCAAGGTGTGTCCGGGGATTCACTGGAAATTCTGAGAGAAAGTGTGGGATCATCCCAGCCATCCTGGATGGTACAAAGTGGGGCCCCCGTTTACGATAGCTAAGTTGGTTCATAAGTCCAATAACTATGGTTTATGGTAGATATAACGAACTAGTTAATGGGGTTTATAAACCAACAAACATCACTGGGAGGCACCACATTGTAGTTTGTTTATGCTACGGCTATGGCACATTTCTTGTTATCGATGATTTGCAGAAACATGGTCACAAACTTTCAGGGCTATGTTGAATTTGTTCAATTGCCACGTTTAGAAGCCCTAAATAACTAGTATACAACATATACAACCGGGGTATGGTGTTACCCATTTACTATATAACCGATATGCACCCCCAAGTAGCCAGCCCTATTTTCCAGTTTTGGCATGTGTTCCATTGTTTTGGCATTGGAAATCCCTATGTGACAGCTAACTGGAAAATGAAAGAATAATTCATAATCCCACTGATGAGCCTCCAATTGGGGCTGGTTTACACCAGCCACTTCTCATGAAATTGGTTTTCTTATTGGGTTCATCACCCTTTCGGTGGTACGGACGCTAGAAACCCTTGGCTTGTCATGGATGAAACTTCTAGATCTTCCCATGAGCTCTTCGGGTGCCCTCGTTTCTCTGGAAAAATCGGTGTCGGAAGTGTCGGGACAATGATTGATGAATATTGATGATATGTTTATATATGTTTCATATTTTTTCACACTGTATGGTCCAATTTGACTTTACAAAGACCGGCCCGCCTGCCGTCTCTGTCGTCATTCATTGCACAGTCTAAGGTGCTCTCGACCTATCACAGCATATCACAGCTATGTCTTGAAGATTTGATTTCGACAAGTCCGAATAACTCATGGATTCTTAACTTCCCAGTCTTGTTGCTGAAAATCACCATTTTTGATAGGTAATCACCAGTTTGAGAGGAGTTTGATAGGTAATCACCAGTTTGATATATTATATAGGTAATCACCAGGTTGAGGGGAATATGTGCCTCATTTTATTTTACGATATCTCTTTTGTTCATATCTCCCCATTTTTTGACGCAGAATCTCTTCCAGAATTGGTTCAAGGAAGAAACCTCGCAGGATTTCGCGACCAATTATGTTGGTGAAAACCATGGTTTCCCTTGTATCCCGACAAAAACAGTCCAATTTGTCTTATGATCATCCATAATGTATAATGTATACCCATGATATCATCATGATATTCTTATTGTATCATCATTCCTGGTCATATATAATGTATCCAGTATATAATATATACAGTATCCCCATATATCCCCATGACATTCCATACAGTATTTTCCCCATTCTATCCCCTTCCCATTATCTCCCCATTACCCTGACCTCAATTAACAGTTCGACCTTTCATGGCAGGGTTTTCACTGCGAATCGGTAATGAAAAATCCCCAAGACCAATTGTTGATGATGAAAAATCTCACTTTTCGCTGCTTGGATCGCTAAATCCTAGGGTCCTAGCTGGTTAAATCCCGGTTTTTCATGGTGAAATCCCCATGTTTGTTGCTTCAAAGCCCTATCGTCAATGGTGAAAAATCTAGAATGCCAGGCCCTGACGGATCCCGTGGGAGTCGTGGGATCCAGCCAAGCAGCTCCAAGCACGTCCGCGAAGCGGAAGACCTTGAGGCGCGAATGGTGGGGAGATCATGGTGCTGCATGGGGAATTTCCACCAGAATAAAAGGAAAATGAAGTCTAATGGACTTTGCATCGCGGCTTTGAATGGGATACTATATATATATATAATATATATATATGATATGTATAATGATGATATATGATATATATAATAGGGATATAACGATTATTTTAATGGGGATCTTCATGAGGACATGATACGGTAAAATTCGACCCGTACTATTTTAATATAACGACCAATCGTAGGGTGAGTTGGGGTGAGATCCTCATATTTTATCATTGAACACAATCAGGCAGTGCATCCCCAATGTGTGTTGGTTGAACAGCAAGTTGAGCAGCACAACTTGGATTCGCATCCCAAGTGGCTTTGTGGGCCATAACTGGTGATATTTGTTTAATATAGTCTAATCAAACTGGGGTATCCTCCGATAAATTGACATAGCAACGGAAAATGACCATTTCTACATAATATGTTTCGTAGGTAGATCATCTATAAATTGGTCATGCCCACCCATTCTCCATAGCTATGTTAAACTGGGGTACCTTCTGACAATCAAAACATGGTTTGCTAAAGAAATCATCCATTTTTAGTTGATTGTCCTATTAAGAATTTCATGTAGAGGATTTCCCATTGCCTTGTTTGATTACCGGAGCGTAACTCATATTGTGATTGCCTCCATCCACAATTCCTGAGTTCTTGGAAGCCAGGCTTCTAGTTGTGCGACATGGTGAAAGCGCCAATCGGTGCGCCCTGGGCAGTCGGAAGACAAGGGCGATCAATGGCGATAAAGGGTGAAAAAAGGGATCCGGAAATTGTATGATATGATATGTATGTATATATATATGTATGTATGTATGTATGTATGAATGTATGTATGTATGTATGTATGTATGTATGTATGTATGTGTATAAGTACATGTAAATATATGATGTATATGTAATGTAAGGTAATGCAACGTCATGTGACGTAATGTAATGTAATGTAATTTATTGTAATGTATTGTAATGTATTGTAATATAATCTTGTACAACCTAATCTAATGTAATGTAATGTAATGGTATGTTATGGTATGCAAGTCCATATGTGTGTATGTGTATTTATACGTATATGTATGTATACGTATGTGTATGTATACGTATGTGTATGTGTATATGTATAACTTAGTGTATATATTGTACATGTATATGTATGTATGCACATGTATATATATATATATACATATTGGGTGTCCTGAACCCACTGTTGCTCTTGCTATTGCTGTTGTTGTTGTTGTTGCTGCTGTTTTTGTTGTTGTTGCTTATATATATAATATATAGATGTTTACTTTTTTTCCTGGTAATTCGGCCGTAATTTACTCATATCTAGTATAATTTTGCCCTATGTTTCTCGTAATCTTTAACCAGAAGCCTTGTTGGAAAAAACAAAACATGTTTTTTCCCCACCTGCCAGGTGAGGGTTGTTAGATTTTATGTCAGTTGCCTCCTCCTGCCTCGTCCTCCTCCTCCTCCTCTCCTCCTCGTCCTCCTCTCGTTGTCCTCCTCCTCTCGTTGTCCTCCTCGTCCTCCTGCTCAACTGCGACTCGCGATCCACAGTGTTCGCTGTCGGACCTCAACCACGACCATCCACGCCCAGTGTTCCCTGCCGGACCTCAACCACGACCATCCACGCCCAGTGTTCCCTGCCGGACCTCAACCACGACCATCCCCGCCCAGTGTTCCCTGCCGGACCTCAACCACGACCATCCACGCCCAGTGTTCCCTGCCGGACCTCAAACGCGAGTATCCACGCCAAGTGTTCCCTGCCGGACCTCATGTAGGAAGATATGGGACAAAGAATGTGCAGAAGAAAATTAGAAAGAATGTCAGAAAGAATGTCAGAAGATATGCCAGAAGATATGCCAGATAGAATGCCAGATAATATGCCAGAAGATATGCCAGATAGGATGCCAGATAGAATGCCAGAAGATATGCCAGATAGGATGCCAGATAGAATGCCAGAAGATTTGCCAGATAGAATGCCAGAAAATATGCCAGAAGATATGCCAGATAGATATGTCAGAAGATATGCCAGAAGATATGCCAGAAGATATGCCAGAAGATATGCCAGAATATATGCCAGAAGATATGTCAGATAGAATGCCAGAAGATATGTCAGAATATATGCCAGAAGATATGCCAGATAGAATGCCAGAAGATATGTCAGATAGAGTGCCAGAAGATATGCCAGATAGAATGCCAGAAGATTTGCCAGATAGAATGGCAGAAGATATGCCAGAAGATATGCCAGATCATATGCCAGAAGATATGCCAGATAGAATGCCAAATAGAATGTCAGAAGATATGTCAGATAGAATGCCAGAAGATTTGCCAGTAAGAAAATGTATAAATGTCATGGTGGGGATCACACGAAGTAAAGTAATTTAGATGTTTCTTTTTTTGGCAACCCCTCAAAAAGCATGTTCTGGAGGCCGTGGGTAGATGATTGTATATGTATCCATGTTGCATGATTATCATTATCAATACTCACACACAATCAACCCATGATTGCGCAGCTTGTGCCACATCTCATTGAATAAGCCACTAAGCCGAACACATCTCCAATGGCGCTGCAGATAGCACATTCCAAAAACGTACTAGACTACTTGTGCGGTGATGCCGGGTGCAGATTCCAGAGACGTGAGAAGATGTGAAGAGTGCACAAGAACACCTGTCGAAAGTAGTGCTGTACTGCTGATACTCGCGTAAAACCATGATATAACAGTTTTTGTCTAGCCATCAATGGATGAATATGTGCCACATCCGGATCCAAAAATGTTTCGCATTTGCCTTTGCCGGATTGTTTTTGATATTCCATCGCGGATGCTTTTGATTCACTACTCGTGGGTGTTCCAGTTTTGAGCCGATATATTTCACGAGAAGCTTATAGAACTGAGATACATATCCCAATTTATGGTTCCTCCCTTAATTAAACAACTAATCCAATGGGCCAACCACATCGTGGATTTTTCTTTGTGGGTGATTTTTCCCATGGATACTGTTTTGGTAGGGGGACCCTCGGGGGGGAGGGGGGTGACCAAAAATGATCGACCATGGTTTCCACGTAGTTTAAGATGTCTAGTCCAGTAAGTATAGTTATGTATAGTTACATCCCCCCATAAACATCCAGAACTCCTAATCAACTAAGTTATGTTTACATATGTTCACCAACTTAGCTATCGTTAGCAAAACCTTGCAGGGGTGTCATCAACCATGGTGATTTACCATGGGAAATTTAGCTGGGAAATCCCCTGGAAATGGAGGTTTTTCGGTTTTTCATGGGAAAAGGACATCATAAGACATTTACCCGGCCTGGTTATTTTGACATAGCCATGGGAAATGACCCATTTATAGAACCTATTAAAATGGTGATTTTCCATGGCTATGTTAAATAACCAGAGGGTATTTTTTGGGAAACTAGTGCCACCCCCGAGGATTATTTTGTTTATAATCCAAGTTGGGGGGGCCCATGGGGGGTCACTTAGGGGAGGGGCCATCCCAATTTATTGGGTTGAAATTCCCATGGTCATAACAAGCATTAATAAGCCCTTGTTTCACCCTACAGTAACCGCACCCCCAAGTGCTGTACATCATCGCATTTCTAAATGATGTCCCCATTCAAACCCTCATGTATTATGCGATTTCCGTGCCACCCATGTTGATTTATACATCCATATAAGCCCCATTCACTACAGCCAAATCTACTGTAGACATCTCAAAGCCCTGGTTATTTCTATGGTCATGAACCCAGCTAATGTCATTCACTAAAGTTAGATCAGGTATAGGTCGAACACGGGTAAATTACCGTAACTATGAAAATCACTATGCTTAATAGGAAAAACATCAAACTAAATCGGCCATGACTTACCATAGCAAACTGTTAAATTACCAAAGGGGCATACAATGGGAATATCTCTGGAACACTGCCATTTTTAGATCACATATGATGCAATGTAGTGTAACATAGCCAAGGTAGTCATTCGTTTTGGATGGTCTCCATGTTTGATAAAATTAACATATAGGTAAATCATCCATACATGGACCATTTTCCATAGCTATGGTAAATTACCAAAGGGCATAATGTTGGTAAAACAATAATAAACCTTCCCCAAAATCACCATAAATAGGTGGTATAAACAATTCCCAAATGTGTGGTTTATGGCATGGGTTTGCCCACATTAATAGGTCAACTTAGCTCATGATGCCAAGTGTTTTTGTTTCGCACCACCGGCGCCAGGACCACTAGCAACAAATGTCCAGATCCCGGGCTGTCGGAGCAGCTTGTTTCCTAAGTCATGGAGGTACCCCCAAATCATTGATCCAAGTCATTCATGAATGACCATGACTTAGTATTGAAACATATTGAAGCCCATGGTGACTTGAGCATTTTTCAGAAGCACCCATTTAGATGGTGAATTGATACGTTAGATCCATGTAAACAAATGCGTATAGATTTACATTATGTATTTTCTAGTTGGATTTTGAAATTGTTTGTTTTTTCCCTTGAGATGGTTCTCAACATGTTTATGCATTTATTCACATATTATATATATATACATATACACACATATATATATATGTGTGTGTGTGTACTCTTTTGTTGATACTGTGACATGGCTGCGGCTCAAAGTGTGATGCCCCATTGGTTGCCCCTGCTGGGGTTGATTTGTTTTCGTTCACCATATTCCAAATGGTTGCCGGCACAGGGTTTTCAGCAAACGTTCTGAAGAACATGTGGAAAATGAAGCTAATTCACATCCCATATCATCCCATATCATCCCATATCCTCCCATATCATCCCATATCATCCCATACCACATTACTAGACCAGCTTTCAGCTATGTTTTTCGACACCGCAAAACGCTGGGAGCCTCGCCCTGCCTCAGGAAGGGTCATCGACAGGCCGCGGCTTTGGCTCAGCGGCTCCTAGAGTTTGAAAAGGAGCCATGGATCCGCCCGTGGCCCGTAGCCGAGGGTTTCATCACCTACTAAAGCATGGTTTCTGGGGGAATGTTCAACATTATATAAGGGGAAAGGATTATTTGATCTTTAAAAACAGGTAGATCATGGAATCACTGCTTAAATGTGTTTTTTGGGATGTTTGGACTAAGAATGGCCAAAGCAATCGCTGTTGGGAAGAAGAGCATGCCAAGTTTTTCGAAATTGCCAGAAAAATTGACAATTGACGTCAATTGACCAATATTGACCATGTCCATCTTTAGAGCTGTAGAAAAACAGATCAGAAAATAAGATCAAACCCTAACTACCCAGATACTGCTTCGTAGTTGCGTTTATCACCAAAAACATACATAACAATTTTCTAATCGTAAGGGGAGAGTTGCTCCGAGCTGCCCTCGAAACGATGGGGGGTACAGGATAGAATCCCTCAAAGTAGTGTTATCTCACTTCAAGATGAGTCTACGTACATGTATATATATATATATACACATATAAATATATATATAATCATACATATATATATATAGAGACAAACATTTAGATTTAAATGCATATGAATACATATATATATAGTGTCATTTTTGGAACCCAAGTTAAACACCAATCCCATCTACTCCACCTCTGGCATATTTATTCCTCCTGGCAGGAGGCCGCAGCGGGCCATTTGCGCATCCTTTGCAGTCCCATGTTGCGATGCCTGGAAACTATTCGACCAGCCGCTTGGCGGAGATTAAAGACGAAAGGCACTGGAACCAATGGGCTATCATGGGGATATATTATCTATAATCGGTGTTTGATATGGAACCCAAGTTAACATTTATCTTAGATTTCCTAGATAACCACTATCAATGCATTTTGATCATCGAAACGATTTAGGTTCCAATTTTCCAACACAGCTGGGTAAATGTTAACGACCTCATTGCGACCTCGCGGGAATATCGGTTCGCGAAGGGTCACTATCTCAAAAGAGCCGAACTTTTCAGGTCAGTGACTCACTACATATTGATATGAGGGTTTCTTAAAACGGGGAGATCCCAAAAAAACATGGGGGTTCAATAGTATTTCATGGTCCAATGACTTGGATGATTTGGGGATACTTTCATGACTTGGGAAAGCTCCTTATTTTAATCATTAACACATTAATGACTTGGGAAAGCTCCATATTATAATCATTGACTCATTAATGACTTGGGAAAGCTCCATATTTTAATCATGAACTCATTAATGACTTGGGAAAGCTCCATATTTTCATCATTAACTCATTAATGACCTGGGAAAGCTCCATATTTTCATCATTAACTCATTAATGACGTGGGAAAGCTCCATATTCTAATCATTATCATTAACTCATTAAGAATATGTTTATTTCCCATACGTCCAACTTACCCTCTGGTAAACGTTTACATAACCATGGAAAATCACCATTTTTCATGGGTAAATCAATAGCGTTTTGTCCTTCTGAAGTCCCAGGCCTTGGAGCTTCTGCCGGCCTTGCCACATGGCAGCTGCATCTGCCACGGTGCGGCGGGACCTCGTTTTCGGTGATGTGGTGCTGAGAATGGACACATGCAAAAACACATACAAACACATAGATAAATGGATAGCTAGACAGATAGATAGATAGATGGATAGATAGATAGATAGACAGACAGACAGATGGACGGACAGACAGACAGACATATAGATAGATAGATAGATAGATAGATAGAGACAGAGATGGAGGTAGATAGATATATATATACACAGATTTCGATAAATGGATGGATAGATAGATGGATGGATGGATGGATGGATGTATAGAAAGATATAAACATAGAGAACTGCTACAACAAAGACCAGGTCCTCATGCCATTCCAAATGTCGTGAAGTTCGGCTTGGGGGCGATTGGGGAACTTTTTACGAACAGAGCCGGTGAGCCAACAGAGACATGTGAAACATTGTGGATGTAGAAACCATCTACCCTCTGGTAAACTAACATAACTATGGAAAATCACCATTTTTAATGGGTAAATCCACTATAAATGGCCATTTTCAATAGCTTTTTGTATGTTTACCAGAGGGTACCAACTGGTGCAGGATTTCGCAACCATCCGAAGTACTTCGATCCGTTCCATCCGTTCCTCTGGTGATGATTTGAAATTGACTTTCATATTGTTTGGGATGGGTGGATACATCACCAACCAGGGATTTGTTTTCTTTCCTATGCTGTCAAGTGGCTGGACGATCAGAATTTCCATCAACCAAACTCAGCAAAATAGATTCCATGTTCCATCTCTCACTCCAATTTTATCATACTGTGCGCGCATTAGTCTCAACCCATTGCCACATTATTTGAGACTGTCCCTCAGGAAGGATTTTTTTCCACTATGGTCAACGATGCTGGTGTTGGACGTGTTTTGCGACTAGAAAGTGGCTAGAAGTGACTAGAAGTGACCCAAATATTCCCATGTGATCTATCCATATCTATCCATTCTCCTTCGTGATAAAACCCGGCAGGCGCCTGCTATGAACATGGTTGCGCCGGACGTTCCTTTCCAGGACGCTATGTGACCATCTCTGAGGGTCTGCATGGAGGATTCTAAAATAAGGAAACAGATCGGATATGACGGACACAAGTTGGGGGTGTACAATCATGAATAATGGAAATGGAAATATAATTGGTGTATAGTTCTGTAAAATGCGATAGTTGAGTCTCCAAAATAGGGAGGAAACCAAGTTTTTAAAATGGGAATATTTGATCGGAATCTGTTGGGGGATAGAACTTGGACATAGCCTGAAGTGACCCACGTAGCCACCACCAGAACTATCTTCTCCAAATCCAACTTGGTGAACTGTCAGCTTTACATACATGAAATATCATGAAATATCTATAGTTGATGGGCCTTTTGAACCAAGAACTAGTTACTAACTAGTTATCTATGCCCACCTTGTAGCCTTTTCCGTTCGCAACCTCCATTGACTAATCACTAGGGATAGATAGTCCAAGAATTCGTGCCATGGCTCGAGAGCTTTGAATATTCACCATTTTCACTAGGTAAATCACCTACTGTGCATGGTTCCATAAGTCACATGAGCAGAGGGATATATGTTGGTTTATAAACCCCACTAACCGTAGTTCGCAATTGGTGGAATGTTCCAATGTTATGTCTGACGCTTGGGATGCAGCCTCAGGGGTGCTCCGGTGTTGGTTGTTTATATCCCCCGTTAGAAAGTAATGGGGGTAACACAATGCCATAGACCATAGACCACCCATTTGGGAATGGTAAACATACCATCTATGTATGGTGAATTTGGGGATGGTTGATTATTGTTTTACCATCATTAATGGGGATATCATGAGTTTTTTTTTTGCGAATGGTTACATAATGACACAACAATTAATGGAATAATAAGGAATAATACAGATCCCAAGTCGCAGCATGAAAAGACCATACCTACCCTCAGGTAATCAAACATGGCTCGGAAATCCCCGTCATAAATGGAGCTGCTCATGGAAGAATAATTGATACATGGAGGATTCTCCATTGCCGTCGAGGGTATATTCGGTTAGGAGGGACCCACTCTCGCCATGAAAGCTTAGCTCTTCTCGCAGGAACGCCTGCTGATGAGATAGCACCTTGGCAGCCTGGTCAGTTATTTGTTGATCGATTCAGTCTTTTTGAAACTGGCCACCTTCATGGTAGAGGTGGCTACTCACAGGACATTGCATGAAATTGCAGAGATTCTACCCTCTGGTAAATTAACATAGACCCTCAAAATAGCCTAGTTTTAATGGTTTCACTAATCTTCTAACCCCTATCTTATCTGCCAGGGTCTATGTTAATTTACCAGAGGGTATGTTATTCACATCGGCTTCTGCGTGACTTGCATGGAGTCTTTCATCGGCTTAACGAAGGGTGGAACCATTGAATCCCATCTTGGAGACTTTCCTCGAGACTTTCCCTAGGTTTTACCCAGCAAACTCCCGTTCTTCCTGACATACCCATTACGGTAAACGAACATAGCTATGGAAAGTGAGCATTTTAGTAGGTAAATTCAACGTAAATCAACTATCAATGGGGTATGTCATGCAGCTTCCAGCTTGACCAATTCCTGAATTCTTGGCTCAGGTGGAAAGGTTTCCTCAATTCCTGGCCACAGGTTGCTCAGCAGCTGGAGGTGAATCCAAGGGTCACTGATGTTCCACCGATGTTCCACCATGGTTTCGGGGGAAGCCTGTATTATTCTTGAAAGGGCTAGCACTCTTTTTCAGAAATTCATCCAATTCCTCTATTTATATATTTATATATATATAGGATTTTTTAGATATGAAATTGCCAATGTTTGATGACACTGGACGGCAAATATCTGTAAATATGGTTCATCAATGGTGAAACCACAAAGATGCCATGGGTTCCCTGTGAAATTCTGAGCACACTCCATCTGAGGTTTTAGCGCTGAGGGCTGGGACTATGGCGGCCAAAGCGACAAGGAAAGCTCCCAGGAATGCGCCTCGGAGCGGCGAAATGATGCCGGATGAAATCACTGAAATAACTCCTGCAACTAGCGCAACTAGTTGCTTAGTTAATTGTCATAACTAATTCCTAGTTGCAAACCAGTTATAAATTGACTTGTGAAAGGATTAGTATATAGGTTATAATCAACTGAGCACTGTTCAAGATTCCTCGTGGTTCATGATTCGTTTGGCGATTCTGCTATCAATATATTGAGGATTGTCATAACCCAACGGGGAATCCCAAAAAAAACAGGCAGTTTTTGAATGGACGATGGGTCGTTTCGAATCTGCTGATGTATCATAAATTCCATTGTTTGGTTTGTGATGGTTTATGATTATGACTATGACTAATGTTATAGCCATCCCTTCACTTTTGTTTGCCGAAGAGTAAAATCCCAATCCAAAATTAGTGACTTGATCTTTTTCTAATTGTTTGGGGCTGCTAGAAATGCTTGGATATGGGTAGTTTTGGGGTTATAATCAAGTAAACATTTTTATTCCGGCTAATAAATGGGCTTTGAGACTTGTTGTTTCGGAGATGGAAATACTGAGCTGTTTCATAGAGCTATCCCATGTACTGATTTCCTGAACAGATGCGCAATCCAAGGACCTGAAAATGAACCGATGCATTTTGATCCCGGAGTTTCTTTCAGGAGTATATATCCTAGATATGTATATATATATGTGCACGTTATATTGGTGTAAGCAACAGGGAGTACAAGTGTTCTCGGTGTTGGAGGAACACAATGGCTTTGGACCCTGTACGAGAACACATGCAACTTGAATCCGGATTGAAGACATTGAATCTGGTGGGTACTTGGAGGATCATCCCACTATTATAAATTATATATACAGTAAGTGAGGCCCCCATTCGATAGCGTTCAGTTGGTGAACATAACTCCAATTTCACTATGGTTTATGGTACTTATATAACGAACTAGTTACTGGGGCGAATCTTTATAAACCGACATTCACATCACGTTTGGGGGCCTCACTTTTTGTGTAAGTGGTTTTAATATGATACTGGTGATCCTCCAAGCCACCGAGGTGCAATCCGGGCCAAGAGCAACTCGACTCGCGCTTAAGCGCGAGCTACGGGCTGGGCGGCTAAAAAAACCAAGGTATGCTGCGTAGGAATATACGTGACAAGCTACTTCTAGTAACTAGTATGACTCAATGAATCTCAATGATTCTCAATGAATCTTATATCATGAGTCTCAATCTCAATGATTTTGTGCGGGGTGATCCTCTTCGATTTTGGAATCAAATCGATACAGAATTGTTCCCATTGAGCTTCCCATATGTTCTCGAATCCTGGGGCGTCCTTATCATTGCCAATCTTTGACAGCAACAAATAGTTAGCCTGTACATCTCCAATAGTCATATCCATACAGTCCATACATATCCATTTTATGAATTTTACGGCAGATCGAAGTCCTTTGTAAACTACCAACCAGCCTGGGACATGTGGATAGTCTGGAGGCGGGAATAGCACCAGTGCTCGGTCATCCATCTCTTTAACCGCTTCAAACGCTGTTGACATGGCCCATAGTCATTGGCCTAGCATTTACCCGGGAGAATGGTGACATAACCAACCAAAAAGTTGATGGTGGCTTAACAAACAAAAATGGTGACTTAACCATACTTAACCATACTTAACCATACTTAACCTGGTGACTTAACCATGGTGACTTAACCACGGATATTAGCAGAAACAATCAGACACATGTAGAAAAACATGGCTTCAACATGTTTCAACATCAACAACTTTAGATGTAATGCAAGAATGGGGGCCGTAAGTCAAATCATGTTTGAATGAAAACCAGTGTCGTATTCGCTGACGCTGACTGCGATGATGTTGACGGTTGAGACAGCCATCCCAGGTAAGTGGGTCACATGTGGTCATGCGAACTACTGAAAAGCCGCCATTTCATGGATAATATGCTAATCCATTAGTCTACCCTGCTGGATTACGGGTTAGAAGCCACTTACGAATTTATACCCTCTAGTAAATTAACATAGCTGCTATTGAAAATGACCATTTATAATTAGTGGATTTACCCATTGAAAATGGTGATGTTCCATAGTTATGTTAGTTTACCAGAGGGTACTGTATGCCGCCATTTAGCTGGATAATTTTCAAATCTAAACAGCCTCTAACAATGTTGAGACATTCATCATTTGTTGTACTATGCACAGTTCATCTATATAGTTCCATTTGAGACAGTACTAAATAACATTAAATAATTAAATACCACCCAAATGAAAACCCAGCCTAGTATTCAATCTATTCATCACTTCAGGCCGCGATTCAGGGTTACTCCAGGGTAGGTAAATAGGGTAAACAGTAAACAATTGTTATTTCAAATCTCGAGTAAGCCAGTTTCCCTGTGTCCCCCCCTTTGTCGATGTTGGGAGCAAGCCTGTTAGTGTGCGCATTCCAGTTCCTAATGAGGTGTCGTCCACATGCTGCGTCAGAGCATGGAGGACGACGTGGTGAAATGTTCGGGGGCCTTTTCAAAAATGGAAAATCCACCGATCAATAATTGGTGGGAAAATGTGGGGGAATATGGGAAATCCATAAATGGAGGTGCCTAACTGGGAACATTATAGGAAAATCAAAGGAACATATGGTAAAATCCACTATCATCCATCATAAGTGGAGGTTTCTAACTGAGAAAATCGTCGGATTAAAGTAACTATATATAATTACATCTAATTACTAAATGGTTGAGTTTCCAGCCATGTTTAATGACACTGGAGGGTATATCGGTAGATTAAACCAATAATAAAACTATTATCCAACGAATGGTTAGGGACATTTAGGGACATATTCCCTGTTTTGCATGGAGGGCAATGGAGCTACGAATTGACTCTCCCAACCACATGATACAATCCAGTCAAATCTGCGAAGAATGTTGAAGGTGTGACACGACCCACTCGAAAAACAGCGGAGCAGGAAGAACACATCAGTTTTCAAATTAAATGGTGTTGAAGCCAGTTTTCAAATGGTGACTGCAGTAGTTTTGACTAAATGAAGCCACACAAAAGGATACGAACCTGATTTCTAGAAAGTCATGCAGGCAAGGTAAGGCTTATACAAGGAATGCGCGAACTTGCAGCAGTGATGAACTTCGTACATGACAAGACGACTCGCATGCCACCGACCTTTGCCACCAGGAGCTATGGGAGTCCAGCAATGGCAGTTCTCCTGTTTTGCCCGCTGGCGGTTTGGGATGGAGTTTTCTGCCGATTTGGATCGCCAAAACCCACAGCTTTCCAGCAAAATGTGGACACATGAAAATTTCAAACCATTAAGATCAGTCGCATATCTACCTATACCTATGTACAAATATGTATATATATATATATATTTACATATATACATGTACACAAGTCACAGATGTTTATTCTACATCTATTCCCTTTTTTCACCATAGATCATGGATGATCGTATTGGAAACAGACAATGTCGTGCCCACCGGCTGCAGAATGACAGAATTAGCAGAGAAATTTAGGTAAGAAGTGTGTCTATACCCTCTAAACGCGGGCGACCTTTGATGCGTTTGGTGCACTTTTCTTGAGATTTGTTACGGTGCCGGGCGGAAAAGCATTGTAGGCATTACTCAGGCATGACATTCTCAATTCTCGTTTGCCTGTAGTTTTTTTTGCATGGAGAAAAACTAAACCATCAACAATTCGACCAACACAAATATGAGGGTTTCTATAATTGGATACAATAGGAAGATTTCATGGGGGCAATGAGTATACCTGGTTGAATTATTTCCCGACCTCGCCGCGTGACGTATCACCGACGTTATCTGATGGGAATTGGATTTGGGGGCATCCCAAATTCGGCGAGGTATCCAAGATGCTCAATGGCATCACCCACACAAGGTGGTTTTCCTCAGTTACGTTGGTTGCTTGCTTTAATTTCTTGAATATAACATGATATCTGTGTACATGAACTACACTTTTGACCAGAATTTCTTTAATATATCATGATATAGCTATCATAAATCATATATCTATCATGAATCTATCAATATCCATCTAATCCATCATAAATCCTGGCGATTTAGCTCACTGCACCACCTTGGCATAGCCTCAGGATTCTAATGGGCCATCAGACTCTGGGAGATCTTCTGCTGCATTTGCTGCTGGAGGGTGACTGCAAAGATCCTTGGGCACCGCAAGTTGAAACCTCTCTGCCCCTCGCAGTGGGGGTGGTGCTCCAGTTTAAGTTGGGCAAGTTGTAGATAGAACGGCTTTATAAACAAACTGGGAACTCTGGGGCACCACATTGTACTGGTTCTGAGCATTTGCAGTATCTCACCTTTTGATGTGGCTAGGCCCCTCTAGAAGCCTGGAAATCGCCGTGTTCATGGTCTCGTGTGAAATCAAAGACGGAGAAATGTTCTTTCCTTTCACATGCATGTATACATATACATACATAATCATACATACATAATCATACATACAGAATCATACAGACATAATCATACATACATCATCATACATACATATATACATAATCATACAATCATACAATCATACATGCATACCTACCTACCTACCTACCTACCTACGTACGTACGTACGTACGTGCATTCATACAGACATACAGACATACATACATACATGCCCCCTCCCACAAACACAAACACACATGATGACATGTATATTTGTGTCTATTTATAATGCATCCATTCAGAGCGGGCTTGCGCCAGGAAAGTAGCATCTACATTCCCAGCATTGGACCTTAAACCCCTATAGATGATTGTGAATGCTTGTGAAAAAGAAAAAAAGTGTCCCGTAGTTGTTCCCAAACCTATCCATTGATATATACTGTATCCTTCTGGAATCAAATCAGGATTGTCCACGGCAATTCTCAAGTCTAGTCCAAAGTTTTATTTACTATAGGCTAATAGAACATGGTTTATCATGATTTACCTATAAAAATGACGATCTTCCATGGCTATCGTGAATGACCAGCAGGTATATTCGTTTCTGAAACCAGACAGTCTCACCACATTGCTGCGTTTCTCAATGATGTCCTACAAAGCTTGGCAACTGGTTTCCTGTGACTACTTAAGAAGCTCCCAATTACCAGTAAATTAACATAGAACCTGAAAATGGCTGATAATAATCTTCCACCCCGCCTATTTAGAAGGGTCTATGTTAGTTGGGGGATGGTAAGCTGGCGCATTTTAAACCGACCACATCCCCATGATAGAAATGACATATACCCCCTGATCAGCAGCTCCTGGCTTGCACAGTCCAAGGAGTGGCAATATGGAACTCCGAAGTACAAGCTCCTTGCCGCAAAGACTCTCCAGTAAACTCAGATAGCTATTGAAGATGGTGATTTAGAGTGGATTTACCCATTAGAAATGGTGATTTTCCATAGTTATGTTAGTTTACCAGAGGGTAGCTATGGACACTTGCCAATTTATAGATGATTTCCTTTAAACAAATGACATCCATAGCTATGTGAAAAAAATCCTAGATATCTTGAACCAACCCTTGAATTGGATGAGACAGTTTACAAGAAAACCAGGAAAGCCACAACAATTTGGGTGTTAAACCCATTATCTCCGGATCGCGGCCAGAGCCTGCCAAGATGAAACTGGATGGATGGATCGTTAAGCATAGTTCAGTACTACTCTCCGCTAATTTAACAGTTTGCAAACTGGAAGCCCTGGCCGCTTGACTTCGATGATTTAAAATTTGATTTTAAATCGCAAGCCTTGGAATTGCCACAGGGGAACTAGGCCTTTGTTTTGACATGTTGATGGGGGTACTAAGTACTAACCAGATCTAAACAGGAACAAATGCGTGTGCTGTATTTAAGAATTTAAGATGGATCACATAAGGGAAACAATGGGCCTGAAACCAGGTTGTTCCCCAAAGAATGACCCCAGTTGTATTACGGGATTTTTGGTTTCGATGTTCATTTCATGTCCAGTTCTTTTGGTTCAACAAAAGGTTCTTGTTGAATTAATGGTGAGTTGGTGATTTGAACTTAGATCACATTGTTTTTAGCCTCAGGGGGCCTGGTTTTGTTGGAAAAATCGAAGCGGAACACCACACACACATATTATATATCATATCAGTAATAATTATAGTAAGAATGATGATGATAATTGAAATTAATAACTCCATGGGTTTCTGCAGACCCAAGAAGCTTATACAGTCCATTGAAACTTCACCACCAGCAAGTTCTTTGCTGAGATAATTCCTTCTCCCTATTGTGAGATACCTACACAGTCCCCAAAAATGAATTGATCCAATGCAAAAAAAAACGAGGTCTCAGGCGGTTTCTTTTTGTCAAGGAAGGGATTTTCTTTTTCACTTGCCCATCTCTGGAGGAGATGGCTCGCCAGGTTAAAAAATGCCTCCATCTCTGAGCTGCATGTGAATCCCAATGGCCAGGCGCGGCCATGCCTGACCTTGGGGAATCCGGGTGGACTACGGACTAGGGACTGTTGTGAGATCTAGGGTACCAGGTGCCAGACTATGCTGGCCTAAAATCACCCAGTTGGCAATTCCAATTTTTTTCATCCAAAACTCAGAGCGCTGGTGAAATTTCAGTGACACTCATTCTTGGAATCAACTACTTTTGGAAATATGATTCGTATTGCACAGTTCAACCCTGAGAACCGCCCATTTCAAGAGGAAAGTTGTCCTCCAAGCTTTAAAACTGGCATGGTCTATGTGAGTGGGAATGTAATTTGGCAGAAAAACCATCCGGCCACGCAGCCCAAATCCATCCGACCCAACTCTGGTTTGTGGTTGAATTGGTTTACATGTTCCATCCATCCTGCAGATTACGATCTCCAATGACGAACATGTTGTTTAGATATTTCAGCCGCCATCTGTGGAGATTACATACCAACTTTAAGATACTCTAAGAAGGTCATAGCCAAGGTTACCCAGTAGGTAAACTGACATAGCTGTGGTAAATCACCATTTTAATAGGTAAATCATGGTAAATCTGTAGATTTTTTTTTGTAAAGTTGTTATTTTCCATAGCATTCCATAGCTATGTGAGTTTAGCAAAGGGTATGCCCGACTTGTTTGACCCGCACCCGTGGACCGGTGGCAGGTCACTGCCAAGGACATTAGCTCGGACTACCACGTGTCAGGCATCCGCTGAGGTGCCAAGCACGGCAGAAATCGATGGGGTGATGCCTTTCAATAACCCCCAAAAAGAATCAAAAAGATAGAAAAGTGAAATCCCTCGAAAATGGGTGATGTGGTTATAACATGTTATAACGGCCTCACGCAACGCGACGTGGCTCTGGGAAAAAATCGGGCGGTTTTTCGGATTGGCCATGGAAAATGGCCATAGACATAGTGGATTTACCCATTGAAAATGGTGATTTTCCATAGTTGTGTAAACGTTTACCAGAGGGTATAAGCAAATCCAAGTGCTTCTGCATCCCAGCTGTACAGTGATTCCTAAACTCTGTTGGGCCCTTGTTCATCATTTTTAGAAGTAACTGGTATCGAAGGTACTCGATGTTCACCTAGACTTGCACATGCTTATATGCTCTGGCAATCTAACATAGCTGTAATATATATATATATATATATCTATATGTGTGTGTGTTGTTTTAAATGTGGCTGGGTAAATCATCTATCAAATGGATCACGGTTTCCATATCTACGTTTGACTTCAAGATTGTATTTTAATTTGGCGTTTGCAAGAATGTTGTTTGTTGTATACCTCTTGACCTGTGACAATTTTTCCCCACTGCTCTTGTAGCTATATTTTCCTATGTTTTTCCTTAAGCCAAATGAGACCCGGACACAAAGCCAAGATATGTACTGTCAACCCCGGAGTAGTAAGATTAATTTGGGGAATTTTGGGGATACCTCCCAAAAAACTAAGAATATGTTGAAACCGTATCCTTCTCCCAAAGAAATAGCCGGGGTTTGTGAATCCCAGGTGAACGAGCCCAGCTGGCGCTGGAACGTGGGAAACTGATGCCTTTCTTCAGCCTGGGCACGGACAGATTCGGACTTCCACATCAATGACACATTGAAGTTTTTTATGGATGGTCAAAGATGGTCAAAGCCTATTGTTACGTGCTGTACTTATTACATTTTATTACCAGCATCCCATCTTTGCTGGGATGGTCACATGAACATTCATAAATCGCTATTTTGATGCGAGAAGGGTACCAGGGTACCAGAGCCATATTGTTTGAGGGATTCAGGTGCCAAGCTTGATGCAGCTCCTTCCTTAAAGCTGGAAAGTTCATGCTACGTTCTGCTAGGTAAAGTTAGGGGAATGGTCGTGAAATCAATGGGTTTACCTTCTGGTAAACTAACGTAACTATGGAAAATCACAATTTTTAATGAGAAAATCCACTATAAATGGCCATTTTCCATAGTTATGTTAGTTTACCAGAGGGTATGTTTTCCCGGGAAATTGATCAGCCCCCTTACTGCGATCATGATTTGAATCGACCGTGCCGGCGGTGGCATGTTTTTGCGCTGCAGCGGGGTAGATGACCATGCACCCCACAAGCATCACCAGGTAAGAGGCTATCCACGACAGAACCATCGGGATTGCAGGGCTTTGCATCTGAATTAGCCATGTCAACTTGCCGCCCTTGCCCGTGGTGTATGTTGCCAGTCGTTACAGGCATTATTTCCGCCATTTCGGCTTTTGCAACAGTGAACTAGTTGAAGAAAAGCCTTTGAGCCGTTGCTTAGTGCATTATACTTGAAAGCAAATCTAAGTCTAAGTGTCGGAGTGTTCTGGCTCCGGGTTTGAGAAATTCTTTGTTCCCTCCCTAAAAAAGATGTTTCACAATGCTTTTTTAGGATTTTCGATTGGAACAATTTGGAACATCTGCAATGAAACTTTCATCAGGCCTTTTTGGACCACTTTCATGGAAATAGCCTGAATTCTCCTGAATTGTGCACACAATTTCTCCAATGATATGATGATTTCATCCCTGGCTCCGCCTGCCCTGCTGCAGTTTTTGGAACCGATCTGATCGTTAACGCGTGGGTGATGGTCTTCTTGTCAAAGGAATGGTATGTCTTATGATATCTCCATGATCCTGCACATGTAGTTGAAGAAATGTGATGAAGTTTGTAGGTTAACAATGGTTAACGTGTCTTTATTTCCGTTGCATGACAGTATGTAACTATATATGCAGCTATGTATTATTAGTTAACGATATGTGTGTATCGTCATAGTGTCTGTGTGATTCGACACTTCAATAGTATGTAGTTGCGTAGTTAAACTTCATAAATTATACTTCAAGATTGTACTTCAAGACTTCCCAAGCCACACTACTTCAATAGTAGTACAGTATAATATACATTCTTAATATATATATATATATAATTATATATTACACTTATAAAAAAAAAAAACAGTGATGTTGATGGTTTCCCTCTTCAACTATGGCCCTCTTTCTGGCCGCTCGTCTCTCTCTCTCTCTCTCTCTCTCGCCCGTAAAAACCTCTCAGGACTTCACCCGAAAAAATGCCAAAAGCGCTTCGAAGATGTTTTCGATGAGGTTAAAAAGATATATGATGTGTATTTCATTTGCGTTCCAATATATCAAGTACATATCAAGTAGTATTTCTATATATTGTATATATATATGCATATACATCAGCTGATATGTTGCCTAGAGGTCTTTCAACATTAGATTATTAAATTTGACATTTTTCAGACACGGCTGCGCCGTTCGATCACCCCATTGGTCTCACTGTAGTCGGGTAGGACTGACGCAGAGGTGGCAAGCTGGAGAGGTTGGAACTACATGTTACTGTAGTTACTGTAGTTTGTTTGAAGCCGTAACAATTTAATCTTAAGCCGCAAGCAGGCAACACAAAGCCACCAAAGAACTTTTGTTGGTGTTTTTCTCTTCTGTTTCTATGCTTGGGGAATAAGAAATCCAACAACTGGGGAGTGAAGCGCTGCTTCACTCGTTTCTGCTGTCAGTCCATTGCCCAAAAACATCCATGTGTGGTGTTTAATGCATGATGCGTGTAGAGTGAGTAAGTGACCCATTTACAGATGAGCGCTCAGATGGTTGACTTTTGGGCCATACCATGCCATACCAATCGTGAATGAAGTGCAAAAAGTCATGCCATGCCACACATGGATGACTCGGGTTTGCCCGTTGACGTAGACACAATCCACGTTTGAACAATCCGTCAAGAAAGGCGAAAGTCGCACTGCAGACATTCATTGCTTGGTTTCCTGCTGCCTGCAGGTTTGTCATACAATTGAGGAAGGATAATGTTCAGCTGGTGATTGAACAGCCAACCGGTCTCTTTCGGCCATTTTGTGCCGATGTCATGTTTGCAAAGGCAGTGCCACTGCGACCAACAGCCGGTTCGGAAGAGTATCTCCTTAGGAGTTATGGTAAACGGACCAATACCCAAATGGAAATTTATGTGGTATTGCTGGGTTTGCCACCAGAAGTGAAATGTAAGCGGATATCGGATAAACCGCAAGTTGGTGAGTTATGATCCCTGTCATATTTCAATAGATTTCACTCATGTTTATGATTCCTTTTCTCCTACGGTCCTACTCCGGATGCACATCTAACAGTATTGATTTGATACGGGCCAAAAGTCTTCAACCGGGGCCACAATTACCAGGGGCCCCACATGTCCTTGCTGAGGGCGTTCAACATAACTGTTCAGAGATTCCAGCAAACTATGCATATAATATATATATATATAATTATATATATATATTACATATGTGTATATGCTGGTGGTCACAAACATCATGCTCAACCATAGAAACCGGATGATGATCCCCAATGACTTAGGTGTTGTCAATGAATATAGTTAGATTTTTATATACGGATATGATATTCACACATATATATATATATATGTATATATACATACATACATACATACATACATATGTTAATACATACAGTTATATCGACTATTTTAAAGCATATTTGACTATATGCATAGGCAGAAACATTGGCAATCAGGATCCCTACCGAAACTGCCCAGGCGACTTTCCAGAAGCTGTGCTGGCGCAAGAGGCGTTGGCGCCCAAAAGCAGCAGCCTGGGGAGCTCAGATGTGATGGTTATGAGTTTACTTGAGCCACTAAAAATACGCTGATTGGTGACTTTCTTGTGACTTATGCTACTAGTATTGGTAAGCCTCATTCACTGGGGATTACACATGATAACCCATAGGATTGGGAAACCAATTTCAACCAACTAGTATTTCATGATATGCATTGGTTGCTACTGTACCCTAGTTTACCGGGATGGGGGATTGTAATGGGATATCGTAGTGATACAACCACCAATAATTGTGATAATTGAGCTACGCAACCAATCATGGTGGGAATAGAACGGTGATATTTGATGGGATGTAGACCTCATGTAACCACGACTATGGTTTTTGGCTGTGGCGGAAAATTGTGTGTATACACCCATTTGTGGCAATTCCAATAGGGAAATTATGACCAACTATCAACCATCAGCTTTGAAGTAGCGCATGTTACCTGATGCTTTCTGGGTCGGAAACAGGCCAATGGCGGACATCCCATACGTTTTAAATTGCACCATTTATATGTAATTCCATATATATATAATATAAATACATATTCATATATTACACATATGTATAATTAGAAACGATATGTCTGTTGTTCTCACCAAATCCTTCACTTGGAGGGGGTGGTTTCCAGCTAGCCATCTTGGATTACCGACCGAGGTCGGTAATTAGCCATACTGGGGGATGGTCACTTATCCATTAATGGTCCATTGAGGATACCACATGTACCACATCATTCACATCATGTTTTGACCATGGCACACATAATTGATATATATATATATATAATATATATAGATACCATCCAGTAATCAGCATTTTGACCTCAAAACAATTGCTTTAAATGAAAATAGTGGAGACCAAGCTTCCAACCATGATTTGACTTGGCAGGGTTTGTGTTAATTTACTGGAGGGTAATTGATTTACTTAATCATAGTTGATCACTATTTATTTGGCCAGCACTTGTGCTATGCCCCAAACTCTTTTGGGTGACCTTTACAGTACTTTGTGGCCTTCCACTATGTTGAGATGGTTAACTTCACCCTCTGCGGGGGTTCGGCTGATTTCCTTTCGCCGTTTTCAACACTTTTTACATAAACCCTCAAGAAAACCTACAAGACCCCTAGGAAAAACCCTAAATTTACCCTAAAGAAACCCTAAATGAACCCTAAAGAAACCAAAAACCATATGAAAGAGTACATAGTGAAGTACCTGTGGGGCTTATACCCGCATGTGCTGCGGTAGTATTTATTGTGGTTCATTACTATTCATAGTTGATTTAACCATAATTACCCATCTACACCTGCGGATCTATTTTAGTTACTGTGGCGATATAATATCAAAGGGTGAATGGCAGAGGTTACTGAGCTGTGAATGAATGGCCACTGTATCATAAAACGACATTATCATTTGGTGAGTGGATGGTTTCACATTGACTAGTAGTAGATCATATCCATGTATGTGTATATATATAAATATAAATATATATATATATATATAAGATCTATGTTAATGTGCGTGTGTTTGAATCGCGACAGGCTTCAAGCATTTTTGAGATGATGTAAAACTTCAGCACATATTTTTTGTGAATGGATTTAGTGAACCCCTACTTCAGGGAATGAAAAACATAATATGGAGACCTCAAACCATTGGGGCATCCACGCGCCAACAACATTGGCCAGATCATAGGATGAACTTCTGAATCCTTCGGCTTCGTAGCGAGGCAAAATGGACTTTTTGGACTGAGCAAAAAGGGCTCCTCACTGAGGCTCCTCATGGGAGCTTGATGTTACTTCGGCGCCGTCTTTCGCCATTTTTTAAACGGCTGTTCAGCCGATGGTCGGTGGTGGTTTGGATATTCATGTCCAGTGGAACATAGGATGAAAAATGGCGTTTCATGGCAGAATGGATGCTGCGTAGCAACAGGGGTTGAATGGCACAAATCCAAAGCACCAAGTTGACCAATGATTGTGTACTTGCGACTCTGCAGTGGGCCAAACATGACATCAGCAAGTGGGTGGTAGTTTGTACTCCAACGATTGGTCAATGGTTTACTGATAGTGGGCTTGTATCCAACAGTCCAACAGACATAGATAGGTCTATGAAGACTGGAAACAGTTCCAGAGCCATAGTATGTCAGTGAAAAGGCAAGAGATACATAGCAAGGGTTCATAAAAATCTGAATCTCCTAGCGTTGAATGCTGATTTGGGGGCATTTTGACCTGAGTTGTCGCCTTGATAGCTCAACTATCACTGGGTAGATGGACTTGAAAATGTAGAGTTGAGTTTGCCACTGCATTTGCATAATTTTGGATGCGTACTGTCTCTTGGGGTGTGCATTTGGACCGCTTAGGGATGTGCTGCATACTCTAGAGACCTATGTTTTTACGTATCAATGGAATTCAATAGATGAATGATGATGAATGCAAGCATATGCACGCCGCTAAGTACGTTACCCTCTGGTAAACAAACATTGCTATTGAAAATGGCCATTTATAGTGGATTATTCATGATAAATGGTGATTTTCCATAGTTATGTTAGTTTACCAGAGGGTAACATGTTTGGTTCGCGTTTCTTCGTGTAAATTGCAATTTTTGCACAGTTTATATACTCAGTTAGTTTTGTTGGACATCGGCCCCAGGAGCTCCTGATATGCCAAGTGACATCAATTGTGACGCAGATGGGGTTGGAAGTTGCGAGTGTATCTAATTTCTAGATAGTTTGAGAATGTTTGAGAGATTTGCATATACTGTATGTTTATTTGTATATCTATTTATATATATATATATGTATATACACATTTTAATATCAATATATGTATATATATATATATGTACCTGTGCATAGTTTAATCAAATAACACCCACACACACACCGGACTGCTTTGTTGGCATACCGACTTGCGAAACTACCATTGAACTGTGGATCAAGGATACAAAGACACAGGGCTCTGGCTGAGAGTCCGTTGAGGCCGCAACAGATGATCCATGAAGATCACTATGTTTAAGTTGGATAAATCCTAAATTATCCTAAATCGATGTATTGTGATTCCTATGCCCTAAATACAAATTTAAACATATTTAAAAAGAAGGTGCTAAATCATGAGGGAATCCTCCACTGTATTGTTGGATCACCAGATCAGTTGGGAGCAGATATGATTGGCCTAATGAAATTAGGGTAATATATTGCCGCCATGTTTACTTGCACCTACACCTCGCTCACAATGTGAAAGATTGCACTTTGGACTGGATTTTTGACACCCATTCACCTCAGTTGAAACATAGCCACAGCGGGAAGTAAATTTGTGATTTGATTGTTTTTTATTGTCGCAATGTTTTTTTCCCTGATGGACATGGTTTTGACTGTTTTCCAATGTTTTCCATATCATCAGCACAGCGGTTTCCAGTTAGATCAGCACAGCAGTCAGTTTGTGGTTCCCCCTGTGTTCCTGTTCCTCCATGCCACGCCATGTCGTGCCCGCTATTTCCACAGAATGGAGATTCTGAGAAGCATCTTTCTTTGCCCGCGTCGCGTTGGGGCCTCGGCCAGTCCCAACGGTTGATGGTTTTTCGAAAGTTGAGACCCAACTTCGGCCCAAGAGATGAGTTCTATTGTGAAGCAGATTCCATATGAGATAACAGAATATATATAATTACGTAGTGTATCTTCATCATTGGGCATTTAAATGTTGAATATCATAGCTTGGTCTTTGAGCTTTCGTAGCTCATAATTCTCAGTGGGTCAGCGGCTTAGCAGCGCTGGTGTGCCAGGATGTAATGATTTAAATGATGTGCCGATGGCCTTGCCATTGCTGAGTGGCAAATATGACAACCATGGTGGTGGTGGTGATGATGTTGATGATGATGATGATGGTGATGGTGATGGTGATGATGGAGATGGTGATGCCGATGATGGTGATGGTGATGATGGTGATGATGTTGATGATGATGGTGATGATGATGGTGATGATGATGATGGTGATGGTGATGGTGATGATGGAGATGGTTATGCTGATGATAGCGATGGTGATGATGGTGATGATGTTGATGATGATGATGGTGATGATGATGATGGTCGTGATGATGGTGGTGATGGTGATGTTGTTGATGATGGTGATGGTGGTGATGATGTTGTTCATGATGATGATGGTGATGGCTTGATGATGGTGATGATGGTGATGATGATGATGATGGTGATGATGATGATGATGGTGATGGTGGCGATGGTGGTGATGATGATGATGGTGATGATGATGGTGGCGATGGTGGTGATGATGCTGATGCTGATGCTGATGCTGATGATGATGATGGTGATGATGATGATGATGATGATGATTTCGATGATGATGGTCATGATGATGGTCATGGTGGTGATGATGGTGATGATGGAGATGATAATGGTGATGGTGATGATGGAGGTGATGAAGATGATGATGGTGATGGTGGTGATGGAGATGATGGAGATGATGGAGATGATGATGGTGATGATGGTGATGGAGATGATGGAGATGATGGAGATGATGATGGTGATGATGGTGATGGTGATGGTGCTTGTGCTAATGGTGATTGTGATGGCTTGTTTGGGAACCACTCAAAGCATAGCTACAGTCGCAATCCATTTGACTTAAAGATTACTGTATACAGACGAGTCCCCCATCCAACTATCCTTAAGTTCTCTTTCTGGAGTGCTGTTACGCTCTGAGGCCCTTCCACAATCGGATCTAAGTGATTTGGAAGATGGCTTGGGGCCAATCAACACCAGTGTCTTGACAATTGTTGGCAGGTAGCCACCCAACTAAGACTGAGATGGCGCAACCAAGTAGCTACTGAAAATGGTTATTTATAGTTGATCTACCTATGAACAATCTAGAAACTCTAGATGTACATATTTGAGTATCCTAAATTTGAATGTAAATGTAAATCCATGTTCTTACATACGCACATAAATACGTACAGACAGACAGACATGCATTGAATTGGATAGCATTGCGTTGTGTTGCATTGCATGCATCATGCATACAGACATACCTTACATACCCACATAATCCCACATACGTACATACACACATTGACATGCAGACATCCTTGCGCATACGTACCGCCCTACCTGTCTACTGGAGGCCAATGTGACGACAGGAACACTCCCATCCCAATATTTTATCGGCAGCCCCAAGGCACAATGGTTTTTTCATAGGGGATTTTCACATAAAAATGGGTCCATTTTGGGGGTGTTTAATATTGGGATGTGATGCCCCATCCTTTTACGTTCTTAGACCTTTTTAGATCTTTTTAGCATATCTATACAGGGGAATTCCAGGAAAGTTTGGGCACCGGCGTAGAACAAGGGCGAACACTCAGCTACCTGTTCTCCTTTATGAATGATCCTGTATAATTATACATCATCAGAGGTATGAGATATAGATTATATTTCAGCTCATGATGCTAATATTGGCATGATAACATATACAATAATGATCATTTCTTGCATCACAGACAGCAATTTACAGAAAATACATGTGTAAACATTTTTAAGCGGTGGTAAATTGAACCTTGCTATAGCGGACTACTGAGTTTTTGGTGTATATGCATATGTATATGCATATGTATATAATTATATATACACATAGATTTCATCATTGTAGTAACCTCAATATTGACATATCATTGTAACGTCATTATAGGAAACCCAATGCTATAGTAGGCCCAACATGTATTTATGAGTATATATTTAAATTATATATATATATATATCATTGATATATCAACCATTAAAGTTATCCTGCAGTAATTGAACATTGCTGTGGATAATCACCATTTTTAATAGGTAATTCACACCTATAAATGTTCCATGAATTACCCAGTGCAACCTCATTGTTATAGTAGTTTTAGGCATGCGGCTGATACGGCGCCCTTGGAAGGTTTGTTAATTTTGAGATGTATCATTTACGATCCCTTGGAAGGGTTGCAAATTTCAAAAATGAGGCTTTCCGAAATGGGGGTATAGGATTTGATCGTTTGGTGTCTTTAACATGTTGCACATGCTGTCGTCTGGTCATCAGGGGGGTGGGGGTGGGGGGGGTGTATTAACGTCCTTGACGAGTACTTCCCTTACGTTACGGAACATGTACACGTTGCGCATGCTGTCCTATGATCATCAAGGGGGTGGGGGGGGGTGTATTAACGTCCTTGACGAGTACTTCCCTTACGTTACGGAACATGTACACATTGCACATGCTGTCGTATGATCATTGAGGCCCAGGTCAACCAAGATGGCCCAAGTCAACCACAAACAAGGTATCTTTACTAAGACTTATCATTTTCGAGGTCGTTTGTGGGGTAAATCCTATAGAACCATTGTTGCTGGTGCTCAACAAATGGATGGAACATGGAAAGACTTATGTCGATGCTCCACAAAAAATCAACAAGTGTACAAAAAAAAGATGCACTTGGGCCTACAGCTGGACATGGCGTCACGATGCTGCCTTGTTGCAGTCTGTGGCTTCTGCGTTGCCACAAGCGCTCTGGCAGTGAAGCGTCGAGAAGAGGAAAAAACTGGAAGAGTAAATGTCGCCCTGATATGATTCGGATGATTGAAATTTTGACCTTTGAAGAGCAAAATAGAGTCACCGCGCAGGCGAAACGCAAATTTTCACTCTTGAGTCACACGCCTGCCAATCGAAATGAGTGTCCATGTTGCAAACATTTTTGACGACTCCTGCAAATACCAGCATTTTGTCTCTTAGCCTCAAAATTCAGAATTTCAAATTCATCACCCTTACAAGGGCGCCGAGTCAACCGGTTGCCTAGTTTTACTGTTACACACAAATCTAAGTTTAAACATCATGACTATAAACACTATAGCAACTATGAAAGATATAATCAAGATATCATCAATCTTAATTTCTTTAAGTTACTATTCGAGCAAACCCCTTTCTGATAGGAACCATTTGAAACCCCATACTAAATTAGTAACTTCATTTTATAGTAAACCCCGCGATTATTTTTCAATCAATCTGAAACATATGGGGCCATAATAACCTGATATATTAATCCCATACTGTGGATGGTTGCGAAATCCTGCACCAGTTGAAAACGGTGGTTTATCCCACTATTAGGGTTGCAACCATCCTTTTGGTGCTTCAGGATTTCGCAACCATCCACAGCATTATTCATAATATCAGATACTATAAATTACTTTACTTCGTGTGATCCCCACCATGGCATTTAATTATACATTTTGTTACTGGCAAATCTGCTGGCATTCTATCTGACATTTTAACTGGCATTTTATCTGGCATACCTTCTGGCATTCTATCTGGCATATCTTATGGCATTCTATCTGGCATATCTTCTGGCATTCTACCTGGCATATCTTCTGGCATTCTATCTGGCATATCTTCTGGCATTCTACCTGGCATATCTTCTGGCATATCTTCCGGCATTCTATTCGGCATTCTATTTGGCATTCTATCTGGCATATCTTCTGGCATATTATCCGGCAAATCTTCTGGCATTCTATCTGGCAAACATTCTGGCACTTTATCTGGCATACCTTCTGGCATTCTATCTGGCATTCTATCTGGCATATCTTCTGGCATATTATCCGGCAAATCTTCTGGCATTCTATCTGGCAAACATTCTGGCACTTTATCTGGCATATCTTCTGGCATTCTACCTGGCATATCTTCTGGCATATGTTCTGGCATATCTTCCGGCATTCTATCTGGCATTCTATCTGGCATATCTTCTGGATTCTTCTGGCATATTATCCGGCAAATCTTCTGGCATTCTATCTGGCAAACATTCTGGCACTTTATCTGGCATATCTTCTGGCATTCTATCTGACATTTTATCTGGCATTCTATCTGGCATACCTTCTGGCATTCTATCTGGCATATCTTCTGGCATTCTATCTGGCATATTTTCTGTCATTCTATCTGGCCGTTGAGGTCCAGCGGTGCACACTGAGCTGGGCAGGTCCCCGGTTGAGGTCCAGCGGTGTACACTGAGCTGGGCAGGTCCCCGGTTGAGGTCCAGCGGTGCACACTGAGCTGGGCAGCTCCCAGGTTGAGGTCCAGCGGTGCACACTGAGCTGGGAAGGTCCCAGGGTGAGGTCCAGCGGTGCACACTGAGCTGGGAAGTTGGCAAAGAGCTTGGCGAAGAGAGTTGGCAAAGAGCTTGGCCAAGAATTGGCAAGGCGGAAGTGCAGGTGGAAGTTGATGCAGACATGGTCGAGGAGAAACTGGAGGAGGAGGAGGAGGACGAGGAGGAGGACGAGGACGAGGACGAGGAGGAGGAGGAGGACAGCTAGCCGAGGAGGAGAACAACTCCTGATAAAATCTAACAACCCTTATCTGGCAGGTGGGAAAAAATGACCTGATATAGATCCAAACACTGTCTGAGAAGGTACGGCTAACCTTCCAAATTATAGTAAATTATACCCCAGTCCGCCCAGTCCCACTTCCTTTAAAAAGGTACGGCTGGATCCATAGGGTATAGTTATCCCATATTATAACCATTTTATGGTAACCTGATTCTACCTTTGGGGCACCGCGAGGCCTGCGTACGGAGCACAATGGCATGCCGTTTCGTGGCAAGGCCAAAAAGGCCGAGGACACCATCGCAGGCGACGGCTCTGAAGGACGGTCGAGCGTGCCGTTGCGAACACTGGAGGTTCTCATGGGCAAAACATAGGAAATTCCTATGGTTTTAATGGAACAACATAGTTTTAATGGAGGTTTTAATGGTTTTAATGGGAGAATCTGAAGTAAATGGAAGTTTTGATGGGAAAATCATCTATGTTTCAGGTGGATTTCCAGCCATGTTTGATGAACAGATGGTATATATTATACATGGATATGATTGGATGATACGCATCAATCATTGGAAAACAGTGGATTATATAAATAAATATAATTATATGTATATATATATATGATGATCAAAAGTGGTAAAACATGGTGATTCAACCATGGAGAAAAACGAAGATGGCCTCAAGGTGAGGTACATGATGGTCTCATGAGGATTTACATAACCAGTGAATGGCGAATGGCACAGTTCCGTGCTTATAGATCTATAGTTATAGGGGCTCCATATCCCCACTTGTGGAAGTATAATAGCAGTTTTACGACATGAATACCGGACATTTTTTGTCCAATTACTAATGATGTTTTCCTGGAAATACCAGGGTACCCAAGGGCCACACGGATGGCGAAGTAGAACGTTAGATATCGGTGATATCTGATGTTAGTTTATTGCCTATACATGTATAATCATGATATTCCTTGGTATCCATGTCGTTCTATGTTTTTGTTTTACCTAATATCTATACAAACAATTGCCGATATTGTTGCGCACGTATTTATATATAATCATATATATATACTTTATATTCATATGAAATATTCCGTAGTTGTTTTATAAATATATATATACATACACATGTGGTGCCAACTTCACTTGGATCCCCCCTGGTGCCCGGTTGTTTCACATGTTTACCCCCAAAAAAATGCCTTCGAGCCGTAGACCCACTTGAGCCCGAAGTGGCAACGTTGGGTCAGGAGTTGCTTGGCATTTGGGGATGGGGTCGGGTGATTGAATGGCGATTGTTCATGGGTACTCGATGGTGTTTTAAGGGTGGTTTGATAGCAATATTCATGTACTTACCTTCCGGTAACATGGCAAATATCACCAATGTGTCTTTTTTGAAACAGTAAGGAGTGGCAATACATCAGTGAAAACAGATGTGAACAGCAACGTCGACCTTCTTGAGAAACTCTCCGTTCGTGGGAAATGCTTCGATGGAGCCCATCGGTCCTTGGACCCATCTTGTCCACCCAGGAATGTTGCGGAGATGCAAAGTGACTGGGCATGCCGGGCATGGTATGTGTCACCAACATGTCTCATGCGTTTTTTGTTGCAAAAAAACAACAGGTGATACCAGACACCGGCTGTTTGATTCTTGTCATGCTGCCAAACCATTGGATTTTGGGGTACTGTACCCATTAAAAGGAAAACACCGGCTGTGTCTCATGCTGGACCTGGGGTCCTGGTGGGTCCTGGCCCCCCAGTGAGCCCAGTGGACAGTTCGGAATCAGGGGGGCCTGTCGTGCCTTCCAGTTACCGTAGCTGACAGACCAACAGGCAAGGGTGATTTGACAGATGCGCATGCATTATATGTATATATATATACATATGTGTGTGTGCAGCACAATGATAAGGATATGAAGGTTTATTAGAACAGACTCACTGTTTTTGGTGCATTGGCTGACGGAATTTGATGCAAAATACAATGCCCTTGTATTCTAACTCCAATTCTCCCGCCCTGGGGCTCAATTCTTGGTGACTACTTAATGTTCCTTTAAACTTGTTTTTTTTTTATCTTCCAACGGCTCGTCCCTGAATGTATAGCATAGTTTGTCTAGTTCTTGGTGATTTTATTGCATGTCAAAATGTTGACTTTTTGCAGGAGGGCCAGAGGGCCAAGCCATTTGAGCATCAAACATGGCAAGGGCAATTCTCCAATCAAACGCATTTAACAAATTTTAACTACAGTATATATATATATGTATACATAATCAGATATAATCAGATGATGTTCCAATAAAACAAAGTGGTTCTCCCACATCTATATCAATTTTTATCTTACATATATGAGTCCTGCTTCCGATAATACGAGGTTTTGTGCCAACGGCATCCCGCCACCCAGAGGTCACCAGCCATTGCCCAGGCATTTTGCTGCAACTTCAGTCAACGGAGGATTTAGATCAGATGCAACAGGAGTTTTTTTTGGGAAACATCGGTGGGACCCTGAAAAAGTTTGGTCACCGTTTTCGAGAAAAGGTAACTAGAAGGCGATGGCTGGGTGATTGGTTGGTTTTTATGTGTTTGTTGTGGCTATCTCGATGTGAAGGTGGATTAATCAGCTTTTAGACAATGCTCAGTATTTGAGATCAGCCATAGTGCTTCTCAAACGGCGTGCCTCCTGATGTTTTTTCAGTCTTGGATTTGTCAAGAGCGTTACTTGTGGTTAATTCCCCAAGGGCATTATAGTTGTTTTTTGTTCATAATATATTATTGATTATATAATATGGGGGGAAATCAATGAATATGCCAATGTCTATCGCTCATGTTTGAAGTCAAATCACACGTTTCCGGAAAACATGAGGGTGTATTGACCCAACATATCGCACTTATGTTTGGAGTGAAATCACTGATTTCGTTTCAGATATATCCAGATATGGGTGGTATGAAATTTATACAACGTTTTTGTCCCAGTGTGTTCCATTCCAATGGTGCCAATGGTGAATTCATCATTTTTTTGTGGGCTGCAGGGCTGCGGGTCACAGCATTCATTGAAGTTAGCCAGCTAAAGCCTGTTGTCAATCCATGTGTTTGCCTGGTTGAATCCAATGATACCAGAAGTTTGAATAGCTTGATTGGTCAAACCCCGTTTTGTTGATCTTAGTTCAATTCCAACTTATGTTGGTTAATTGCACCCTATCGTTTGGTGCCCAAATCCCACTTGCTGATGGCAAATTCACGTCCGTTAGTCCCAATTCCTTCTTAGTCAGATCCCAGAAACTCCCACATGTTTGTTGGTTAAACAATGTTAAACAGGCTTAAACAGGCTCAAACAGTATTTTTCAACTGTTTTCAACAGGTTAAGACCATTTAAGACCCATTTCCGAAACCGCTGTGGTTTCACCTTTTTTGAGCTCCTCATGCTCTCCAGGACGCACTTGACCTGGCCCGAGGCGAAGTGGACGTCTTGGGGAGAGCCGCTTGGTCGCAGCTTCTGAAGCATCAAACAGATCAATTTCCAGTGGATTTCCAGGGATTTTCCGGAAAAAAACGGGATTTCAATGGAAAATCTTGGGGATTTTTCGGCTGGGCTTTTCTGACTGGGGATTTGACTGGGAGCGAATTGGCTGGCTAATGGGAATTGAATGGGATATGAATGAAATTGAATGAAGCAACCATATGGGTTTTATGTCTGGAAACACTGGGGGCTATCCACAGAGTTTGGCTTACTCTCTGGTAATTTAACAGTTTGCTATGGAACATCACCATGTTTAAGAGGTAAATCATCGGAAAAAATGGGCGATGATCTAGCACCAGCAAAATGTGTTCTTCCCATCCCCCTGCTAAGCTACTATCAAAGACCCCGATATGGGCTCCCAAGGTGATGGATCCAATACTGGAGCATGGGCTTTCTGGGTGGTATTAAATATTAATTCGGTGGAAGGTGTAAACATCAGATATTGGAGGTTACGTTTCTCCTCTGCAGACTATGGTCAGTTGCTCAGATACTTGGTTGCATCCCACTTGGTATGTGGTCAATAAATGTCTTGTAATTAAATCATTTACATAGGAGATAAGTTGAATCATTTGCCACTTTCTCAATAGTCGGACATGGCTGGCTGGGACATGTTCATACAAAAAAATGTAAGCGAACTCCATCAGAAAGAGTTGGGTGATGCTACCTGGGGAAGTAGGTTCCGCGTGTTGTTGGCAATCCATGCCAATGGATTTTGCAGAAAGAAACATTCACATTTTGGGGGGCAGAACCTGCGTTCCATTGACGCACCCATGGATTGGATTAAGGACCATCTCCAGGAAACTATGGTTTTTCCCATGAAACCCAGGAGTTTCCTCTAATTTTTCCCTTAAGCCACTTTGAACCCAAACCTTGGACATCCTACTCCGCCTGCGTTGCCTGCTCGGGACGAGCGAACGGATGTGACATGATGACCGACAGAATGCGGCACTCATATGGCATAAGAAATCAAAATGTAATTACTGTATAGACTCTGTATTGTAATTACGCTTATAATACAAATTATATATATACTGTAATTATGCACACACACATATATACTGTATATATATATAAACATATTATATATGTATACATATGCATGCATCCACAAAACCCATCAGATCATAAGATAAACAGTTCGGTGGGGATGTTGGAGGCTGCCGGGCGCCTGAGGTTTGGGAAAGTCAAAGGATGATTTTAATGAAGAAAGGCATTGATTCTGCCAAGACAATGCTGCACACAAAGTTGCAGGACCTGTTCCCGGATACGTTTGGCAATGGGAAATCCCCATGAGAAATGGAGGTTTGTAGCTGGGAAATTCATCCACAAAAATTGTGGATTTTCACGCAAAGCATATTCGATGAGGGTAAATCACCGTACAAATCCCGATGAAACACCATGAAACACCATTTGTAGCAGTATCAAAGCATCATGTTTAATTTTTATGGTGTTTTATGATGTTTTAATGATGTTTTATAGTGGTTCATTTTTTGGCTCCCGATGAAACACCATTAAAACAGTATCAAAACACCATCAAACAAATGGGGTATCCTGGGAACCCCGCCGCAAGTGATGTGTGGGAACTTCTTCACCGGCAGGAGCTTTTCAAGCAATGGCGCTGGAAGGCTGCGGACGCCACGTCCAAGGAGGAGCTGGAGGCTGTGTAAAGATGTTGAGGATTGTTGGGGGGGTGATGTGGCAAAATCATGGACAATTATCATTGAATGTATATCGAATGTAAGTTTTTGTTTTATTTATGATGTTTCCACTGTAAATGTCAATGTGTTTGGCATATAATTGGTTTATTTTCAAGTTTGACCTTTGCTGAATAGGTGCAAATCAGGTGCGCATGATGGCATGGAGTGTTTGGATATATTGGGTACCAGAAGGTGGTAATGAGAAGGCTACCCTACAGTAAGGAATTCTTGGTGAATGGTAGCATTGCAGGATGAACTGCTAGCAGTTCAAAAGGAAAATTCAGAAGAACATGGGAGATGATTCTTCTCCTCTTCACGGCAGCCAGTTTTGTTTGTTGGTTTATAAACCCCGTGAGTACTGTAGTTATATGTACGTAGTTATATGTACCATAGAGCATAGTTATTAGAGTTATAAGTTATGAACCAACTCAGCTATCGTAAACAGCGTCCCCACCTTATATAATGCTGGCCACATCCGGAAGAACAGTCGGAACTCTGCCCACTCTGGACATGCACGGACAAGTATCGGATAGATGGCAGCCAAACTAGACAAGAAACACCGCGTGGCAAGAAAAACATGAACGGAATTGGACATATCAACATTGACCGTCCATTTTGTTCAGCCCGTGATGTTTGTTTACAGCAGCTCCCAAAAAGACTCAAACGTGTTTCTTTTCCCATGTTTTCCTTATATTTCTGGTTTTCAACTGTTCTATCTTTTTGGGGGTTGCTATATTTCTGTTATGTTCATGACAAGATATGTCAGATAGCAAGGCTTTATGGTAGATATGTCAGATACATCAATAGTTTTATACTGGTGTTTACAAACCAACTTGTAACTGAATCAGTTTGCATACAAGTTATATTAAAACTCGATACATTATATATATATATATGTAGGTGTGTGTGTGTGTGTGCATGTATATGGTTATATATATATATACATATATGTGTGTATAGATCTAGTGTCTTCATAAGGGGTTATATATGTAGTTTAATTATATTAGTTATAAACTCTAAGAACCATGTCACTGCCACCGGAAGCAGGCGCTTTTGGAAGCACCTGGGCAGAAAGATTTGTTGAACACTGCGACAGCTTCTGCCATCCAGGTGCCACGGGCGGATTTGGTGGGGAAAATGTGGTTCCTTGCAGTGTGGAGGTTATAAGTTCCATGAATACTAGCTATATAGTTACGGGCAAACCCCCCAGTTTGCCTGCGCCTACGTCGCCGACGTCCCCGAAGATCAAAAAGCACTGTGTTTTGTGGGACAAAATGCACATGTCCGTGATCTTGGCGTTCATCTTGCAACGCACAGCTTAGGCTACCTGCGCGTTGAATGTTACAAAATAATAATAATAATGCTAATAATCATCATCATCAACAACATCAACCCTAAACCCTAAAACCCTAGAACCCTAAACCCTAAACTCCTTATATTTTTTCCCTGAATATAAAGTTCCATGGGGGTGCAGATTTGATGATTCCCTAGAAACTCTGTTGAAACATGTTGAATATTCAGTTTGAATGTAAAGTTTAACGGGGGTGGAGATTTTGATTCCCTAGAAACTCTGTTAAAATATGTTGAATATTCCCTTTGAATGTAAAGTTTAACGCTCCCTTCAATTTATCCCCTTAACAGTTCCGTGGTTGAACTGGTGGGTTTGCACGTACAGTTACTATAGTTGCAAGATGATACATGTTTTTTTAGCGTTCTAAATATCACAGACCAAATCGTTATCGGAGCTATCTTCACCCACTTAGCTATCGTTTGGGGGCCCCACTTTGTGGTTATTAGTACATACTAGCCAGCTAAGAATGGCTTTTTTGCTCAGCATTTGCAGCAACATTGGGGCCAAATTCCCATGAGGGGGTCCCACCGAAGCAGCCATGTCCATCAAGGGAATTCCCCGGATTTCTGTTGTGCGTTGATTTGGATTTTTCCTGCACATTTTTGCACCAATCCATCACATTGTTTGTTATGTATCCCCTTACATTCATGTTCCCAATATCTCCCATTCCTGTCGCAGATGCCATTCAGTTACAGGTGCATCATAGCCACAAGCCGGTGAAATTGCCGGTGATGTTCCACATGGTTCCCCTTTCCATTTCCCAGCCATTTCACAAACGACCAGCGTGGCCAGATCCCAGCGAAGGGTGGTTACCAGGCCCCTTTTCGGCCAGGAACTTCTGGAAGTGACTGAGAAGTGCCAGAAACACTTGAAGCAACGCAACCTTGGCCCATTTTCGGGCGCTGAACTGTTTGGTGCGAATATTTGTTTGGCCCAACAAACCTGATGAAGAGTCAAGTCCTACTAAACTTCAACTTTAAAATAGTGATGAATTACTTTTCTATTTGTCTATCTTTTTGGCAGTTGTTAAAAATGACATCCGAATGGTTGAACAGAGGAAAATATTCAGGTACATGTCCAAAATGGTGCATAGATATACATACTGAAATTACATGAAATTATAGACACAAGATAAAAGACTCATTACCACCCAATAAGCCAACATAGCTATGGAAAACGGATGAAATGCTTCGATTATAGATTGACCCAGTGATCTATCAAAATTCCAGAGGGTATACCTCGGGTGGCTGGGTTGATTTTTCCCGGTTCCAGGCATAGAGCTGGAAAGCTGCTTGCAATGTGCGGACTTTGTGGCTTGGATGATGTGCATCACCATAGCATCATGGTGTTCATCATCAGCAACTTCAAGAGTTTTTGTACATATTCTTCAGACATATATAATTATATCCGGGAGGAGCCAGTTCAGCTGGTAGGAACGCTTATTTGGTTAATGACGTGCAGCGACTTCCGCCCCATATGTCGCGTGGGTGACATGGTCGCCTTCATCTTTGGACGGAAAGAGCAGCCGCCGAATATATAAAACAAACACACTGTGGCTTGCTGTTCTAAAAAACGTGTTGCACTCAAAAGGACAATGCCAAGTGTGTGTGTATATATATACATACACACATACACACTGCAGTTTAAACGAAAAACATTGTCATGTATCAGTATGTATATATATATATATATATTTGACCTAGATCTACCTAAGATACCTTTGATGCCTATGTTTGTTCTCTGTTTTTTCCGTGTGGTCCCAGGACCGCTGTCGGGTTAAGACACTGTTGGAAGTCGAGGGCGCTTTGAAAGGCCGCGTGCTGCTGGAGTTCAAGTCCCATGGCGAAGTGGGTGCTGGGGACCGAATCACCCAACCCAATGGAGGTGTATACAGTAGCTCGATATTCATCAGCTATGAATGGGACACAACTTTAGAATTTGCCATGAGAAAACCGGAGGGTAAGGTTGAAAAAGCTTACCTTTGGTAAGGCAACATGTTGCGGCCTGGAAAATCACCTTTTTAAATTTTGGATTCCGTATGATTTTTCATCATAGGAGTCACTGGCCCGGGCCAATGGCGTTACCAGTTCGCACGTCCAACGGGCCGTTACCCCAACTGGAGCCCAAGCATCAGACGTGATGTTTGCAGCAGAAAGTCATATAGTTGCAGGTACATCAGTTACTGTAGTTGTTAAGAGATACGAGCTATAGTCTCAGTTACTTGTTTCAACTATAGTCATAGTACCATATGGTTACTATATATATGTATGTATATTAGCTTCACATAGTCACTATAGTTGCTTTAGTTTTATATAGTTACTATAGTGTCATACAGTTCCTTTGCTTACAGTACAATAGTTTCATGAACTTAGTGTTTCAATATAATTATCATATAATTCCTTTGGTGGAAAAAGAATCGTGTAATTTCTATAGACTCATATGCTCACTATAGTTTCATATAGTTTCTATAGTCGTTATAGTTTCTATAGTTACTAGTGCTATAGTTTCTTACCATGCTTACTATTATTTCTAGAGTTACTATAATTTCCATGTAGTTTCTATAGTCACTATAGCTTCTGTGGTTACTCTAGTTTCATGTAGTTTCTATAGTTTCTTTAGTTTCATTTAGCTTCTATAGTTTCATGTAGATTCTATAGTTGCTACAGTTTCTGTGGCTACGCTAGATTCATATAGTTTTTATAGTTACTATGGTTTCACATCATTATTTGTCACTCTTCCACTTTCTTTTCGACTCTACTCTACCATCCCCCCTGAGGCTCCGAAGAGCTCTTGGCATGCCACTGACCATCACAAAGCACGCCTTCGAATTTGCCAACGTCAAAGAACCGGAACCCTGACTTTTTAACGCCAGCGTGAGGGATATCAGCAGCAACAATTTGATGATATATGGACGGCCATTATAGAAATATATATATATATATAAATAGCCAGTACATATATATATATATATTATAAATATATTTATTTATTTATAGCCAGTACATATATATATATATATATTTATACGAATACATATATATATATACATATTAATACATATACATACATATATTTATGTGTGTGTATTTTTAGCCAATACATATTTATATATATATATACAGTATACATATATATATATACATATTAATACATATATATATACACATATTAATACATATATATGTATATATTTATACATATATACATACATATTTGGCTGGTTGTTTCAAATATATATATATACATATGTACGTATTTCTATCTGAGAAATGTCAATGCCAGCTGGGGAGGATGTATGGGATATATAGGTATGTTGACATCAAGTTCATCAATATTAACATACACATGACTGCGCACGCCGTCTTTCACACACTTTGGGCATCTCAAAATATGTGTCGGATTGCTTTCAGGGGACATTTACGGGAGTAAGTGTTTTTACCTTGGATTGATGAGAGGGCTTCCCCATCAATGTCCCCTTGACCAGATCCAGTGAAACATGATGGGTATTCTTCACAAATATTGCACCCAATGACTTGACCTGGAGCCATATCTCAAAGAATTGATTGTCCAAAATTCGTGTATGTGTGTATATATATATATGATATATATATATATATATGTGTGTGTGTGTGCGTGCGTTTTATATATATATATATACACACATACGTGTATACCCCAAGCTACGGCCACAAGAATTCTATACCACAGGATTTGGTTGGCATTCTATTCCCATACAAAGCCAAATAGATGAGTTGAAATTCGCGGAATTGTCACGGTAAACACACTACATTTGATGGTCAGGTCCTGTTTTTGTTCGCTGATGGTGAAACATGAGGGACATATCTACCTGTTGTGGGAATTGCTTCTGAAAGGAAAATCTGTGGACAACTCCAACATTTTTTGGACTCAAACAAATGGGTGTGTTAAAAAGGGGGTATCCCAAATGCACTGGTTGATCGTCATTTTCGCTTCTAAAACCGCCAGTTGGAGGTGGTTGATTCAGTGTACATAGCGCAGACCCTCATGTCTGAAATCGATTGCAAAGTGGGACGCCCTGGAGATAGCTAGGTTGGTTTGTGATTCCAATAACTATGGGTTATGATAATTACAACTTTCAACCATAGTATTCATAAATTATCATAAACATCATAGTTATTAGGTTACCATGGAGTCCCCATGATCAATATGACTATTTCCCCATGTACTCCATGGTTCCCAGTGAGTTTATGAACCAACTCAGATCACCGGGGGTTCCCATCCCTTGTGCCATCCCCAATTCTCTACGAATGCCAGGAGCTCCGCATCCAGGAGCATTCGTCCTTTGGTGAGCGAACCATTCCCTCGCACCTGTCGTCCTTTGGACTCTGAGTCGTTGGATCCATAGGATATAATGGGAAAACCATAGGAAAAGCATAGGAAAACCATAGGAAAACCATAGGAAAATGGTGGTTTAATGGGATTTAATGGGATTTACCCGGCCTGGTTATGACTAACAGTTTGCCATGGTATAGATGGCCCATAGATTTATAGATGGTTTACCGAACTTAATAGCATGGGTGGATTTTCCATGGCTATGTTAAATAACCAGATGGTACCTAACACGAGCAGAACTATGAGTAGAACTACGTTACAGATTGAATTTCATTCAATGATGCAACTTGGTAAATGATAGTGAATATCTAATCTGAATAGAAAGAACTAGGTATCAGGTTCATCGTCGACCCACTTATACAATTATACATTAACATACATATACGTGCTCCAGTGATTAGTATATTAGATTATATGAGTATATTCTATATTCAGCAATGATGAGAATGATTCAGATCCACTCTTGGGGGGTTTTATATGGGTTTAAACCATTTTATACCCAGAGCGTTTAAATCGTCGTAGGGATTTCCTCTTGTGAACGCCAAAGCTCAGATTTGATTCGATTCTGGATCCCAATCCCTTCAATTCGTCTTCTAAATTTGGAGTAGTCAAAAGTTAAAAAAACATCTCCAGCCAACACATTTGGATGAAATCTTCAGCATATGTTGCGGGATTTCACCATGGCTTTCGTCGACGACTTGATTGATACGTGGACGTCCGAAGGGCGACATTTCAATTCCATGCCTGCCGCATATTGTGGTAATCAAACCCTGGCATCGGAACATCCACCATGAACAAAATCTATTAGTGTTGTGAGTATGTTTCTATAAATCCATGATTCCACAATTAGATATCTTCTATTTCCATAGATATATTGAAAACATATATGTATGATTTTTTGTTAGTACGTATATAATTTACTGAATCCATAGATGATTTGTTCCCGCAAATGGGGATTTCCCAGGCACCCCATGATGACCAGAAGGGATAGCCACGCAACAATCCCTTGATCATCGGCGCCACCTTTTGGGACATGCAATGCTGAACAGAACCAGCAGTTTTCAGAGTTCGTACTACCATAGATCCAAATTGAAGCACATTTTGCTCAGGGATACATTTTGTTTTCAGAACACACGATGCGAATGGCATGGAAAGTGCATGATTCGTTTCAGAGATTTGCGATGCGCACTGATGCGTCGAGTTCAATGCTTGCTTGCCAGGCATTGTGGCGGTTTTGGGGTCCCTACCATAGATGTCCTTTTCCCATTGGTTGGTTGATTAATAGAGGGGTTTGAAGAAACCCCCTTTAACAGGTAAATGATGATAGATGGTATCCCAAACCGGCCCTTCTATTTTCACCAAAAGGACATTATTGGTCCCTACAATCATGGAATCCATCAATGAATTGCCCAGCAGTACCTCAAAAATGGATCTTCACTATCCATTTTTCCATGGACACACCCAGCTTTCCAAGAGTACTTTGTAGCGTCCTCCAAAAATCACCAAGCCCCGCAAATGAGGACTGGAAAGCGTTGGGAAAGTTTTTGGAATCAGGGCTGGAATCCATTGTGTTCTATCCAGATAGTATGAGCTCCAGTCATCTCTTGACTATGTCGTTCCTGACATACTTATCCTTTCAATTTGTATATATATATATATTATATACGTATATATATATATATTATATATATATATATTTATATTATATTATATATTATATATATTATATATATTATATACACATATGCGTATGACTTTACATATTATAAACACGTATATAAACGTATTTACATATGTGTGATGACTCAACGTATGTAGCCACCTGAAAAATATCCAGGTGGAACGCTGAACTCAAAGGGTTCGGCGGCGTGGTCGGCGGTCGGTTTGCGTGCTCGGCTGGGATGTGCCACCTGCAGAGGATGTGGATGCCATGCAGATGCCATGTCAGTTTGGAGATGTGATGCGTATAATTATGTATATACTGTATTTACTGTATATATATATATATATACTGTATATATATATATGTTTATTTATTTAAATATAATTTACTACATCTAGAAGTCAGTGTAGAGTTGTATCTCTGGACCTGAATAAGTCAGGGTCCAAGCGATGAACTTGTCCATCGATGGAAAGTCGACAGCGTACCATCTATTATACTACTGTAAGGAGATTGAATGAGAATATCGAATGAACCTGAGTTGCAACCAGCAGAACTACAAAGTGGGGCCCCGTTTAGGTGTGTTTAAGTTAGATAAGTTGTTGAACACACCTGCAATTTCACTATGGTTTATGATACTATAGTATTATGATTATTCATGGGTGTTTGAACATGTTTAACCAACAAAGCAAACTGAGGGGGCACATTGTAGGAAAACTGGTACAATTGGGGTTATAACAGTTATAACTTAAAACACTCTGCTCTTAGAAAGCCCATCATTGAAGATGCATTGGTCCTATGACAACAGCAACCTTTGTGCAGAAACTATAGATGTTGTTTGTAGCTTCCTTTATTTCTCAGTGCCACATCAGACATCTAGCATTATGTTTGTATGGAAACGGGCTGACACTGGAACTGGATCTGAAAAGTTTTGGAGAACATCCCCAATTCCAACATTATCATGGTGACAAATCAAAATCACTGAACTTGCCATAAATGACCATCTGGTTGGTGGTTTGGAACATTTTTCATTTTTCATTATTTTTCCATATGCTGGGAATAATAATCCCAACTGACTACTATTTTTCAGATGGGTTGAAACCACCAACCAGCCATACATGTTGGTAACTGGTAACAAAAACACCTCATTCTCAGACACAGCCACTTTCCACCATTGAAATCATCTAGGTAACTGTGGGTTTCTACCATCATATGATGATTTTCCTGTAATTATGTCCCTTCAGACCACTGGGAGTTTTGTCCTTGATACTCTGGGAAAGCTTCATGGTCGGATTTGCCATGGCCCAACAAGACTAGATCTTAAGTGTTGAATCCATTTGCACGTACTTGGGGATCACCCCACTTAGCAAGCGCGACTAGTAACCATACTCTTACCTCTAGTTATTCATGGGACAACCCACTCACAGGACTTATTCGCCAGAGTGATTAGCCACTGAGTTCGATGATCCCCACAGTACGGGCTCCATGTGCAACCTGAGTTTCTCCTCTGACTTTGAACTCAACCTGATTTTCTAGTAGAGACACAACCGTGGGTTGTGTGCTTGGTGCGGCTCATTTGCTCAGTGCAGATGTGGCGGAAAAGATGGCTGTGATTTGTGATGTTGAATCTGGGACTCCTGGGAATTATGAAAGTTATGAAAGTGATTGTCCCTGTTTGTTAGCTGGTTGGTGTTTCTTTTAGTGTTCATCCATATTTTGGGAAACCGCCAGTGGCACCAGTGGGATCCAGCAGATTCCACCAAGATTTTGTCAGCCTGGCGGTATAAGTTGTACTTCTGAGGCTCTGCATGTTGAAATGCATATCCCTGATTGTTTATATGGTTGCATTGAAATAAGCGAAACTGGACATGGCAAAGTTGAACAAAGTTGGTCCAAGATTCCAAGATTCCAAGATTTAACAGACCGAAGTTGGATAAAAGTCATTACAAAAACGATCTGCCATGATTTTTTTTTTGCGTTCGAGAAGAGGCCAACAGAAGGCCGGCGTCCAGTTTTTGAATAGACAACCCAAGCTGAAGATGTTGAATTGCACTGAGCAGTGTTCAAAACCATAGCTGGTTGAGGAGTGTAGGGGTTATGCAATCTAAATAAAATATAGCGGCATATCATGATCTATGAACTGGAAATTCCGTTCTGAACCAACGAGGACTAAATGGAATGATAGAGTATTTTGAACACTGCTCAACTAAACTCACCTCAAATGAACTCAGGGATGTTGATTGATATAGTTTTTAACGTGGCAGCGTGGGGGCTGGAGTGTATGATTCTGCTGTCCCCGAACCAGGCATTCATGCAAGTAAGTTGCTGTACAGCCAACAGTGATGTACTATATTGAATCTGGGTTATTAGCCACGCAACCGCCTACATGCCCAAAATTCAAGTCAAGGACTTTCCAAACTATGATTGTGAAGCACTTGGACTTCGACGGAAGTTGAATCGAACCAACGTAGGCCAAATGGAGAACCGCTTCGCTCGTCTTGGCTTAGCACGGCTGCCGTGCAGCGAGACTGAACCCTTCCCAGTTGTGGCACTGACCCTCAGTTGATGATGAGTGGAACTGCAAAGTGTTGGGTTCCATGTTTTATGATGTCATCAAATCATGTCCTGTTTCCATTCGAAAACACGCGCCTGTCTCATCAGGTTCTCAATGTCAAACTGAAACTAATTTTACATATATATATATACATATATTACTATATATATATTTATTACAATGAAATTAATAATTAATATTTGTTTTCCATGGAGCATCCCAATTTTACACCTTGCCCTGCTGCCATTCCTAGGCCGTGAATTGACATAAAATGTCCATCCATTTGGACCCACTTGTATACGAAAAATAGCACCAAAAAATCGCAATATTTGACTCTGGATTAATCACTACGAATTGATAATTCCAATGTCACCAGTGTATTCCATACAATTAACTAACTACTAATCAATATCACCAGTTATCCAAAATACCAGTATAGTATATAATTGTTTAGCCCTGGATTAACTGTGGATTCTCACTACTTTGCCGCATGGGTGACCGACTCCCACAGCTATTGCGGGATGCTTCTTGGCACAAAACAGTGGCGGAGATGTTTCGCCATTCCAGTGTTCTATGGAAGCCACGTCATTTGAATTTGCGACTCACATAGATGAACGTAACTTATTCGCATAGATATGTATATAATATATATATATAATATGTATAATTAAACAGTTTGATACACATTTAGATAGACATGTAGATCATATAATATAGATAAACATTTCCAAACATAGAGAAACATGGCTAAACATAGCTAAACAACGACATCAGGTCGATCATGGGAATG